AAAAAGAGTTAAAATGAGATAAGATAATCCCACAGTGAGGAAATGTGCAGTGTTGCAAAGGATATGGTGCAAAAATCAGTAGAAAATAATAAATAAACAAGAAATATAAATAAGTAGTGACGATGTTGCACTGATTATTCCATAGAAATTCCTCTAAATATGGAAGCATGATATGATAACAATATAGCACAGTGTTGTTCTATATGTACATAAACACTGATACTGCACACGTTCTGCAGATCTGACAAGGAATAAAGAAGCCTTATCTCAACCAAGGTCCAGAAAACTCCCATCCAGGCAGCTGTTGAGTTGAGGTTTATCCAGTCCTGTTCCTGGGATCAGCTCATAATAGTGGTTTCTAGTGGTTTAGGAAACTTTCACACATCCAGCTAAGCTCTAAAGCTACCATACTTTACTTTTATACATCACAGTTTGAAGCAAAGTTGAGCACAAGCAGGATAATAAATCTCCTTTTTCCAACTCTAGCTTCACTCTCCATCATCCTCCATGCTGCCGTTGTTAGCAGCAGCTAAGCTAACAGGTGTGTCTCCTTTATCACCTCACTTCCTGTCTGGCTGTCCTGTCCAGGTATAAATAAAGGGCTGTTCTGTCCATTTTCTTTGTATTTTCTGATACAAAGACTTATATTTTAAAACAACAACAACAAAAACAGGGAAAAACATATATGTGAACATTACAATTACTATTTGTAAAAATACAAATTTGGCCTTTGTTTTTTTTTTTTTTTGTTTTTTTACAACAGTTTCATATTTAGGGCTGCAAGGTGACGCAGCTGGTAGCACTGTTGCCTCACAGCAAGAAGGTCGCTGGTTCGCATCCTGGTGAGGAAACCTGGGATCTTTCTGCGTGGAGTTTGCAGACTGGTGACCTGTCCAGGTGTCCCCTGCCTTCACCCTGAGTCAGCCCCCCACGACCCTAGTGAGGATAAAACAGTGTTTAGATGATGGATGGATGGAGTTTCATGTTTTTTCCCCTGTGATTCTATTGTTACTATCATGTCTTATTTAATAAAACAGGGAGATTTTAGATAGATACATGCCAAAGTAACATCCACATTTTGTTAAACACAGAAAACTATTTTCTAGAAAATATTGATTTACATGTTAACCCTAAAAGAGACATAAAATAACACAGTTTTTAACTGTATTAATATAAGAATTTTTACAATAATTGTGTATATTTTTATATATATAAATAGCAGATCATCCTTTTAATACATTTTAGCATAAAATGACACAGATGTTTAAATTAAAAATTATTTTAATTTATTTAAAATCATCAAAATATATTTCTCTTTCGAATCCACAAATATCTATAGAATAATCACACATGCCATTATTTGAAAGAAAAAAATATATATAAAAGGATTAAAAATGGTTAAAAATATAATTATTATAATTTAATTTTCATTTGTAATTAGTAGTATTTGTGATTACTGTATTTAAATCAGCTTAAAGATATATATTACTCGATACATATTCACCATTATTTTCGCCAGGTTTACAGTTTTGTTTTGTTTTTTTCACATTGTAGTATTCCACTGTTTTTTACAGATTAGTTTACAGTGTAGAAGATGACTAATGTTATTCATTTCAGGAGTCTGGTTTTAATGTTATGGCTGATCAGTATGTATACAGTAGTCCATATATGTCTGGAGCTGAAACTGTAGTCGTAGTATTTTCTCATAATATTGCTTAAATCAGCATGTATAAAGGAGTCTCCTCAGCTCATTTAGTCATCCTCTACTGTCCCAGTCCTCTCTCACCATCCTCCCAGCTTTACTCTGCCCACAGAAAGCAGATGCTTTCAGCAAAAAAAAAAAAAAAAGCTCTAAAAACACAAACACAGTCCGTCTATAAATGCTGAATGTGTAAATAAGCGACTGTTTTCCAGGTCATCCTGTCAGCTCAGACACTAATTAAACACTGTGTTGACAGCTTATTTCCACTGTCCCCAAGTGGCCCACAAAAAAATAAAAAAATAAAGAAAAAAAGAAAAAATGTTATTGTAGGTTTAAAAAAAGATGTGTGGCCTCGGAGCCCATGCTGCATGAGAAAATTACATTTGTGACATCAGACTTGACAGAGCTCCCTGGAGAGCTGCAGGCGACAAGATGCAACTGTTTCAGAGGCTGAGCAGAGAAAACTGATCTCATGTGTGCAATTTGTCAAGTACATCTTTAAAACCACAGCTCCACTCATAAAAGGCTGCAAGTGAGCTGGAGGAGGATGCACGGGGATGGTTGTTGTTCCTGTTGTTTCATCAGAAAGAGGATTATTTACCAAATTGCAACCATTAATTGCTGCTAATAGCGTGAAACATACAGTGCAATGTGATATGAAGTAATTAGAGGCATGTTTGCAACTCAAAGAGCAATGAACCATAAAAAGCCTTCACCACAGTGTACACAAACATCTTTAATCCACATTCATCAGCAAACTGCACAACAAAAACCCAACAACATCCGGCCTGATGCCATTATCCTTCCCATAATCCTCCAGTAATTCAGAAAACCGGGATCCTGTTCATGTTGTGAAAAAAACACAGCTGGTTAACAAAGGGTGCATTAAATGAGAATATTGTCACGTAAACACAGATCTCACCTTCGTACGCTTCACTGCTTTTTATATTCAGGAGGGAAATCTTGATCCAAGTGGATTTTAGGCAGCTGCTCTGTCTGTGAGTGAGTCAGTGGCGCCACCTTCTGGTATAAAATAAGCATTATGCTATTTTTTGACCCAGTTGTTTTACTGCTGTGATGCTGTAAAACTATTTTACCCATAAAACCACATAACTATCATGTTTTTGTAATTCAGAAAGTCTTACGGAAAATGTTCTGTGTTGCTTTTACTTTTGTTTCGCTCCTTTACCTTTAATTTGTCTGCACTGGGAATAATAAAATATATCTTTAATAATCAAGCTTCAAAAACAAGACAGTAATATGGGGAAAAAAAGCATAATAATAATAATAATAATAATAATAATAATAATAATAATAATAATAATAATAATAATAATAATAATAATAATAATAATAAAGTAATCTTTTTTTTTTTAAATAGCCACTTAGATTTTTTGTTTTGTTTTCATGTTGAGAACATTGAAAGTATTGCATGTTTTTTTAAATTATGGTGTTAAAGGAAGAAATGAAATCTGAACTAGTGCGAAATTAATTGTAGTCCTGCAAGAAAATATCATCTTGTTTGTTTTGTCAGGTTTTTAAGACAATATGAGAGATATTATAATATTAATTCAACTTTTCAGTCAGTTTTTTGCCTGTATGTTGTACAATATACCACCATAAAACAGCACCACAATCCTAAATATCCTATATGTTGTCCTAAATATTATTGTTCACGTGAATTAGTGATCTTTAAGTTACAGCTCATCAGCCTCATTCATTCATTTGTGTTACAAAAGAAAATAATTTAAAAATAAGTAAAACTTAGGACAAAGAAAGATAAAAGAAAATAGAAAGATAAAAATGGCAAATAAATTAAAACCCAGGAATGCTTCAAGCACATTTCAATACAACCTTAATAACCCCAGGGCCTCGTGTCACTCAACTGTACCCGTTACACATAAAAAGTAAAGTACAGTTATGGGCCCAGTTAAAACAATAAACTCGAACAGCTGATCCAAGTTCAGATCAGTTTATTGCATCTCAGAGTTGTAAAACAAGTAAAAGCTACTTTCTCTGATTGGAATTTTTCCGTTTCCCACAGTTGGTCGATCTCCTCTTTCAGTTTCAGTTTCGTTGAATAAAAATCCCCTCACTGTGTGGTCATATAGCTGCAAATGCAGTTGCTTATAGTTGCTGCACTCAGATTAGTCATGATTAAACATGGATTAGTACATATGAAATCTGTGCTGCATACACAACTGCACTCACAAACAGGAAATAATAAAGAGAATGTACTGACATGAGCAGTAGTGGTTAGTAGTTTTAGAGTGTTACACATGAAACTAAAATACGCTCCACCTGAACCAAATACAACATAGCAATGGTGTTTATATGTTACTGCACTGATACTATTAATTAAGTACTATTAATAATAATAATTCAGCAGCCTGACAACGGTGACAGCGGAGAGTCTTTATTTGTTGATGGTGCTTAAATAATCACTTCTAAATAATCCTGAATTCAAGATTCTCGCTTGTAATTAAGGCAGGAATGTAACAAGACACTCTATTTATTTTTTATTTGTCTCAGTATTACCATTTCTTGGTGCTGTATAGTTCTACTCTAACACAGCATCGTCATTACATTTATTTTATAGCTGGTAATTAGTTTGATTTTTAACACATAATGCATTGTTATAGAATAAACTACCCCCCACAAAATATATATATATGCATGTACATAGATATATATTGATATAGGTATTAAAAAACACAAATTTACCTCACTTAGTGAAATATTAATGTAAAGTACCTACACTATTATTGATTATGGCTCTGCAGTAACTGGATATAATATAAAATAGCCAGACTAATCTAAATGTTAAGGGTAATAAGAGTAAAATGCAGGAGGATGCGCAGGATTTTTGTGTGTATTTTCTTGCATTTTTTAGTATTGCTGCTTTTACTCAACTAAACATCACATGCTTCAGTGCTGCTGTTTGCTTGTTATTGAGTGACATATTTATTGTCTTAAAAATAAATAATGATAAATTGCACCGGTTATGCATTTTGTATTTCATGCATAGACCTTCTCTCTGCGCCTCTCTGTCCATGTGAACGGATTAGGATCAGGGATTAGAGACAGATGTAAACCAAAAGTCCAGATCCAATCTAATTCTGCTGCCATCCAGCACAGCACAGCAAAGGTCACGGCAAGGGTCAAGATTAGCCAAGCCCCGCCTCCGCTGCCGCCTCAACCCGTTCCTATTGGTCCGTCGTTTGATTGATGGGTGCTGCTGTCCAATGGCAGCGGAGAACGGGGAGGAGCGGCTGCGCAGATGTGTGAGAAGAAGACGGCGCAGGTTTCAGTCAGAGGAGGAATAGCGCTTCAGAGAGTCACGAACAGTTGGAGCTCTAAAAACGAAAGGTGAGGAGCAGATTATACACCTTTATCGGGCTGAATTAAACGTGTAAATACGCTGAATTCATGTTTAAGTGGTCGTTTTAGCTCCTGTGTCGCCGCTGTGACATTAGCTAGCGTGTGTCGTATCTGTCAATTTGCTTCTGCGCAACTTTTAACTGCTAATTCCTGTCGGCTAGCAAACATATTTCTGTGATTTACATGGAGTTATTCGTCCTTTTTGTGCTTGTTTATCCTTCTTGAATGATCCCCAACCTTCTTAGCCGGTTGTTTTACACCCAAAAATGGGCATTAAAAGTAGTTTTAATGAGTTATTATAATAATTTAGACTCTTTTGTCCTTGTTGTGTGAGTGCAGCCTTCTTAAATTATTAGCAAGCTTCCTAGTCAGTTGTTTAACCCCTCAACACAGACATTAAAAGTAGTTTATTGGGTTATTTTTAATAGTTTACAGGCTGTTGTTCTCTTTTCACATGTGCAACCTTCATAAATTAACCTCAGCTTCCTTGTTCAGTTGTTTTAACCCCCAAAACAGGAAGAACATAGCCACATGTATTGAATTATTGCAGTAATTTAAAGCCTGTTGTTGTGTTTGTGCAGCCTTCTTTTATTTATCCATAAATTTCTCAGTCACTTTAAACTTTTAAAAGTAGTTTTAGTTATATATTTCTACAATTTACAGGCAGGTTTTAGTGTCTTTGGTCTTTGTTGTGTTTGTGCAGCCATTTCTAATTATTTCCAACTCTCTTTAACCCCTGAAACATACAAAGTAGTTTTAGTGATATATTTCTACAATGTACAGGCAGGTGTCTGTCTCTTTTGTCTTTGTTGTGTTGTGGATCCTTTCCTAAAATATTCTCAGCCTTCTTAGATAGTTGTTTTAACCCCCAAAATATCCTTTAAGTTAGTTTTAGAAGCATATTTCAGTAATTAAGCTTCTTTCACCGTTGTTTTATTTGTGTGCAACCTTCCCTACTCCCCAAAACAGGCTTTAAAGGTAGTTTTAGTAATGTATGTAGGTCATTTACAAATAAATTCTTCCCCAACCTTCTTAGTCAGTGGTTTTACCCAATACTAGGACCGAAAAGTCTTTTTTTTGATGATATATTTCTTTCATATGCAGGCAGGAGTCTCTTTTGTACTTGCAGCCTATTTAATTTCTTCCCAACTTGCTTTACTTCAAAAGGATTATTTCCTCACGCACGTCTCAATATCTTTAATTTCTTGTTCATGGTGTCTTTTCATTTGTGAAAATAAAGTAAGGTTTAAATCTTTCAGCTACAGTTGTGAGAGTTTAGTAACATATCTGCTTTGCATGAAATTTGAGCGTCTTGGAAATCCAAGGAGACTGGCAAGAAAAGAACCGTAGTTACGTGCCAGTTTAGAGGTCATTCATTTGGCTCAGCTCTGCATTACTCGCCCTTGTGCCAAGGTGCCTTTTTTTTCTCACACCCCCTTCCTAGTCTTGTTAGTCTGCAATCTCTCATCACTTTACACTTAGATGCATGCTTGAAAACAACGTACACCCGCACAAACTTTACTCACAAGGCCTGAACACACAGTAGCATGTACCTGTCAGGTTATGTGTGTGTGGCAGGTAAACTGTGGCCTCTGTGGGCTAATAATACAACGAGGAAGACTTTGCTCTTTGCTTCCTGCGTCTGATATTTATTCCATTTGGAGACGGCGGCAGTCTGCAGTTGCTGCTGTCTCACATTTACACTAAACTTTAAACCACGTAGCCGGTGGTGACAGGATATCTTGGAGAAAACGTCCCCTCTGACTGAACCTGACAACAGATTACTGAACCTGGCTGTTTAGATACAAACAAACGGAAAGGCTTAAAGTGTATTCAATACAAAAAAAAAGTGTACCCGAGCTTTCTAATTGACCCTGAGAGCGCGTGGGTGTGTTTGGAATGAGACATTTTAAACTTTCCTGCTGCACATTTTACTGTTCAGATATTAAACCGTCATCCGGAGGTGATTAATAAGTAACTAGTTGGGAAGTGTGCACCGTCTTCTTGCTCCAGACGGCTACAACCTTGAAAAGTAGGCGTGTTTTCCTTTAGTGAGAAAGAAAGAGAGCTGTGGGTGTGCAGAACGTTAGCTTTTTTGCACAATTATGACTTTGTGCTAAACTGAAAGAGAGAATTTTCTGTTTCCCACAGTTGCAGGCTGACTGATCTCCTCTTTCAGTTTCGGTTTCGTTGGATAAAAATCCCCTCACTGTGTCTGTAGTTGCATCAGACATTAAAGATCAGGTTACATCATTGTTATTTTAGGTACTTTCACATGACGTGAAAAGGAAATAAAGGTTTGGGTTTATCCAAGGGAATGTTGCCAAAGTGCTGTGCCAGCTGAAGTATTTACTACATAAAATGTTGGGGTGTGTACCCGTTTGCACAGCTGTAAATAACTAGAAACCTGACTTGTGTGCCGGGAATAAGCATTTTTAACATTTTGTCTGCTCTTTGACTTTTCAGATGTCTTTCGTCAATGACAAACTGTACAATGGGTACCTGCGGCGGAACATGCCCACCATTGTTAGCAAGGTGAAAGTGAGAGAAATAGTGATCCATCTGCCTTGCCTGACTGCTCACGACCGGGTAGGTCTCATTAAACATCAATAAGTGTAGGATGTTTTTGAAATACTAGTTGAATAACAACCTGTATTGATAGTAGCTAATAGAAGTGCCAACACAATGCTTGAGTTTCTGCACAGACAGCTTAAAATACTCCCACTGGTACCTTAATTATCAAATCGAATGAAGTTTATTGTCATTTTGCTGCAATACACAGTAGTACAGGCAAGATGAGAGAGCGTTTCTTCAGGATCCAGTAACTTAAAGCAATTTAAATAAAGAAGTGTTTGCGTATCTGGATCAGCAGTTCAGCATTATGACAGCTTGTGGTATGAAGCTGTTGATCATTCTGGAGGTTCTTCCTTTAATGTTCCAGAAACGTTTGCCTGATGGCAGCAGTTCAAACAGTTTATGGAGAGGCTGTGGAGCCCCTGACAATGTTCAGAGTCCTGCTCCTGCTACCTTAAACTAAGACTCTCAAATATTAACTGATATAAACACAAGCAGCCACATTTTAACTTTGCCAAAATAAAATTTGTTTGTTGAATCAGGAACTATTTACTCAAAGTATGAGCTAAAAGGATTAGAGATCTGATTATTTGGTTGATGCAAATCTAATGTTAATACTGATAAGATTTGTTTTTAACATACTCATGTAGGTGTTTTTTGAAAATCAACATCAGATTTGCCTATTGTTTGGTAAGTTTTATTATCAATGATGATGGTTACTACTGAAAATCTGTATTACTAGCAAACAAACCTGATTACTGCTGTAATAAAACTGATTGTGTGTGTGCTTTTTGTCTTTTAAAATGTAATTTTAGGAAACTATAGAAGCAAAACGAGAGACTAGTGGGAATTTTGAAGCCATGATTCTTCTTCTGGATTGTCTAAAGAGAAGAGAAAACTGGCCGGAGCAGTTCATTGATGCGCTCGAGGCATGTGAGCATCGCACTATTGCAGCTGATATCAGAAGAGAATACAACGCTCTGAGAGGCAGCAGTAAGTCAACAAATGATTTACCTTGCACCGTGTATGTCATCATAGAATGCAGTATCCCTTTTTCCAGTTGTAAGCAGTCTATTTGTCAGGTTTGCTATCATCTAAGTAGCATGTGAGATAATAAAGAAATATTTGATTCCTAAATAGACTCCTTATCTAAACAACTTAATGCTCTGCCAAGGTTTGCAGGAAACAGTATATTAGAAATTAACAAATACTTTTTGTGCCCCAAAAAAAGTTGCAGCCGCTCAAAAATTTCACTACACTATTGATCCTATATAAATCTGATGGAATGCATATTGCAAATTGTTGCACTAATCACTTCATACTGCAGCCCGTGGGAATAAAATGTTTGCAGAATGCTGTTCAGATGCACGTTACACAGCGAGTTAAGTCTATTTTTGCCTGAGACTTGAGTGTCCGAGGTGTGCATATGATAATCTCTGTTCACGCATGCTTGGGCGGTTCTCAGGCGAGCAAGTGGGCTGTGACCACTGTAAGCTGATTTATACCGCTGAAGCAAAACGGTGTCTCCTTGTCGTCCGACCTTGACAGACAGTTCACAACTCTGCACACTTGTGAGAAACATGTGGGAGAATGCTGACTTTCTTAACCCTCAGTATCTGAGCATGAAGCTCCAAATTCAAAAATGTGACACTTTTAGCTATCAGGAGAAGATATCATGTGTGTCATCTCATAGTTTTTGCTTCACAAATTGATTTCCCACATACATGACCATGCAGTTTTTATTCTGTGAGTTGACTACACAAACAGCACGCACACAGTATCAACAAACAGTAAGATATACATACAGTCCTTCTATACAGTAAAATAAAGTAGGGCAATGGCTCGCTGTCGATGTTAGGGCTGCAGCTAATCTTTATTTTCTTTGCCGATTAAACTCTTGAATATTTTCTCAATTATTACATGAGTTGTTTTGTCTACAAAGGGTCAGAAAATGGTGAAAAAATGTCAATCAGTGTTTCCCAAAGCACAAGACGACGCCCTCAAATGTCCTGTTTTGTCCACAAATCGAAGATATTCAGTTTACTGTCATAGAAGAGGACAGAAACCGGATAATGCTCACATTTAAGAAGCTGGAATCAGATAATTTAGGCTTTTCTTTGAAGAAATTATTCAAACAGACTGCATATTGGAAAAAATGAATACATCTGTTGTTTGCATCTTTCATTTTACCATCTGTATTTCCTATTGCCTGCACTTTTTGTGTCTTTCTAGGATTCATTTTATGTTTACTGCATTACATCACTGTGATAATAAAAGTATAAAATCATAGTCCAGTTTTCCGGCAAGCTGATGCATGGAATAACTTGCTGTATGTTTGAACTTTAGTCCAGCTTTTTTGACATCAAAGACTCCAGTAAATTAGTTAATGATAAATGAATTCCTGTTTAGTCCTTCAGGATTTCACATGGCTTCAGTCACGTGTGGACGTGACAGATTTAAATACCATCGCTGTTTGCTTTGCCCTAGATTCCAACCCCAGCTCCCCTCCAATGAATGTCGTGAGGGCACACGTCCATCCACCACCATCTGACAGTCATTTGCCAATTCCAGAAAGTGGTGCTGCTGCTGCTTCTCCAGCTGAAGCTCCTCCAGCTCCTCCAGAGCCAGCTACCCAGGCTCCACCTCCTCCGGAAACCCCATCACAGCTGCTGCAAGCCACCCAGACCCCAGCAGCAGCAGCAGCAGCAGCAGCAGCAGCCGCCGCCGCCCAAGTTCCCGAAGCAGTTTCCCCACCTGAGCCCGTCGCCGAGCCTCCACAGTCGACTCACATCGACGCGAAGCCTCCTCCATCAACACCTCCTCCGTCCCCTGAGACCCCGCACGCTCAGATGACCACGCCCCCGCTGCAACAGAGGGAGATTAACTCCCATCAGGAGCCTGAGGAAAACTCTGAATCAGATATCCCGGTTCAGGGGAGGTCAGCAAATGTCGAGGTTTTGGTTAACTCTGCGACCACCCCGCATCCAGTCGAGCAGACTGAAACAGGCGCTCCATCCTACCCAGATCATCTCCAAACAGCGCCTGCCACTGAGGAGGAACCCCCACGGAGTCAATCTCCAGCTCAGATGGACTCAGATGAATCCTCCTTTCTCACTTTGACCCCAGCGAAGGCTCCGGTCCAGGACACCACCCCTCCGGTCAACACGATTCCTGCTGCTGTCCTGCAGCCTGAGGAGACTTCTGAACCTGCTGCTGCACAGGTGAATACCAAAATACACTCATTGTAAGACTTAAGTTGTAGAAAAGCAAAAGATCCGATGCATTAAACATCTATAAACACTCATTTTAAGCTTTAGTTATAAAGAAAACCCAAAGGTTCCGTGCACTGTCGGTCTCTGTGGTTCTCAAATCTTCAACAAGCAAAACTAATTAATGATTTAATTCATGAAGTTTACCTGATGAAGACGGAAATGTCATGAATAGACTACAAGTGATCAAAAAATGTGTTTGTTGTTGAGTTTTTGCCAATGAAACCTTCCAGTAAACTGAAATAATTACCTGTTAAGGCTTAGACATAACTGCGTTCGTCATTTATGTGATGGACACAGGTTTCGTTGATGTATTGCATTATACACAATTGGTCTTTATTTCTCCTTTTGAATGTTTTTTTGGTGTTCAGAAACCTTAATTTATTGTTCATATTAGGAAAATTGTTCATAGAAGACCAAAAATGTGCCACAAAACAGAAGAAATACACCAAGTTGTATTAAGAAAATCTCACTTTAGCTCACAATGCCCCTCTGACAGTTTTAACTCATACTTTATTGTTCTACATTAAACTTAGAAATCCAAAGAAGGACAAGGCTCCAGTCTGAGTATTAAGGTTTATTAATATCTGCATTCATATTTTCACTTTACATCCACTACATTAATCCCTTGGAGCGTCTCTCAAATGGTAGCGTGACAATATCCAGCCTGTCCTTAAGCTGCGTAATACATGTACTATTTATATGTTTTTATTCTAAGTTTAGCTTCATCAACTTGCTTCTAACCAGGCAGCTTTCCCATTTTTCCCATCTCTGTTTATCTTAGCAGCTGCACATGCACAGCAACTGAGTCAAATTATAGATATTTAACTATAACGCGATGCAAATGTCGATTATTACCCATTATTCCACCAATAATAAGCAGAATTATCATAATAACTCTATTGTCAATATTAAGTAGGAATATAAACATGGCAAACGTATTTCTGATACTCAGTGTGACTGTAAGTAGTAGTGTTTTCTGTTGGGTTATTACCGTTTAAAGTGTTTGCAGTTCTAGTAGTGTTACTGAAATCAAAGTTAAAGATATTTTGTTGAGCTTTCCTTACGAAAACCCCAAAGCTCAGCTAATTTATATTTACATTGTGCCTATCCTTGAGCCACACTACATACATTAAATGGATCCCCCCCATCATAAAACATTTTAGAAGCAGATGTTCACAATGTTCATTGTTTGCTGGCATGCAGTTCATCTTCTCTCTTACCTCTGCTGGCACATTACTGCATTTTTTTTTTGGCACGTAACAGCCGCCAATTGTCTGTCATTGGAAGGGTGTGAAACGTTTGGCAGGATTGTGTGTCAAACAGCCAGATGTTCATACTAACACAGGGCAGACAAATAAAACGGGAGCTCCACACGAAAACCATAAAAACGTTTCACCGTAGTGCTGCTAGTGGCCTCGTCCTCCACCTTTTCATGAAACCCGCACCTCTGACATCACTGTACAAACATCAATCATTGGTTAATGTTTTCTAAAATGTCAAACTTTTAATATGTATTGATTCTGAATATCTGCAATGTTTGTAATTCTCATTCATACACTTACTCTTCTCTATGACATCTTGTGTTTGACCTTATTCACTCTGACTGAACAGCATTTTGTTATACAGTTAGAAAGAAAGCATGTGTAGAGTCTCTGCAAACAGTTTTGGTTGATAAAGAAGACAGCAGGATTTGGATTTGAGGCAAAAGAACACAAAGAAGCAAAAGCACAAGTGAGAGATTGTATGACGTGTACATGACCTCAACTGTGCATTCATTAACTCTTTGAGCCCCAAACAGTTTCTGGCTGTTTATGCTCCCGTCACATTTTAACTCCCGACTATACAACATCCCGTACCTCTGTGGCAACAATACGACCATGGCCAGTTTTTTTGCTTTTTACAAACAGTTTTTAGTGTAAAAACTGTGTATTTTTGGTCAATTTTTAAATAACACATGCAGAATAAAGTGATTTGAATGAAATATGATTGGAGGGAGACAGTGAAGTTGAAAATCTGATGATTGTCTTTGTTTTTACAGTTTTTGGCTTTGATAAATGCTTTCATTTTGAAGATTTTCTTCTATTTATAATAATAATTATAATTCTAACAATAATAAAAGATAACTTGGGTTTCAAACCTACTGGTTGCTTTTAGGATTCAGAGTTAACATTATGTTTGCTCAGTTCAGCTACCCTTTGGGGAAATAGTCAGTAATGGTGTTTTTACCAAAATGCATTATGAATCTTTTTAATGCCAAGTCACATTTACATGCTTGAGAGTTAAAAAACTACACCGGTTCCTTTAAATGTAAAACTTTTAATTTGTCATCCTTTTCCTCTGCAGATTGTTGAGAGCAGCCCGCAGACTGAAACTGCAGCTACAACCTCCCCTCAGCCTGATGCTGCTGCGGCTGCTTTGGTGAACGCCTCCCTTAATGATGACGACTCTGTGTGTCTCAGCAAGCCTGGACAACTGGTCAGCATCCAACCAGCAAACCACACCAGTCCCACTGTCCCTGCATCCATGGTGCTGGTGGAGCCCTACTCTGGTAACAGTGATCGTCTGGAAATAAGCGAAGCTGCACCAGACGTCGTGAGCTCTTCTGCATGCTCCGCTGTCGAGAACACCGATACAGCACTGCCATGCCAGGAGAACGGCATCGCCCCTAACCACAACGAACCCGAGGAGAACCATTACGAGTCTCCGTCTGAGAGCTTGGACATGCAGGAGGTTCAGGAGAACGTGGTGCATGTGTCCGAGGTGCCGTCCATCCTTAACCAGGGCGGCCAGACCCCGGCGCCGCAGATTCAAATCAACGGCGAAGCAGCCAAAGAATTCACCTCTGCACCTCCTGCTGATACCGTATCGGGTTCCTGTGAACCTGCAGCGGCTGATATCTCACTCGTGCAGAATTCAGACGACAAGACGGCTCTTCAGACCAATCTCAGCCGGTCGCCTAACACAAAGTACGTTCTGACTGCTGTGGGAGTCGGTGCCTGTGCCCTGCTGGCGGCGTGGAGGTTCAAGAGTTAAAGGAATCTAATGCGTTTAATGACGATAAAGAAGATACAGAATGGGAAGGCATGAGGCAACAGTTTAATCATTACCTATCCTAATAATAGCTGGCTTGTAAGACCTTTGATCATGTCATTAATTACAGATCTGTGGTTGTTTTATCTTTTTACTGTTGAGAGCAAAAACCAAATCTGCCCTTCGTGGTCTACTCGGGGTCACTTCATGGACCTGGGTTGAGATCTCAGGTAATTCCTGCACTTGCTGGAAATGTGTGGTTTTTAAAGGTACACTGCAGTCGTTAAGTAATGATTGTGTGTTCTCTCGTCTGATAAGCCGAATCAGACTGTGAGAACTAGTGTATCATAAAAGTGAATTTTATTGGACTGGGGAAGAGAGAAAACCAGCAGGTCACCAAACTCTGTAAATGTCCTTTTCCTGTCCATAGCAGGAAACAGGGCTGTAAATGATCGCTATTGCACTGTCTGTATTTATTTGTAAATATATAAATATATATACACACGATATGGAAATCCAAGTATGTATTTTAAGAGAAACTGATGTGTCAGAAGCATTCCAAAGCACTCGTGATGTTTCAGATATTCAACAAAGAATCAGTCAGCTGAACCCCTGCAGAGTTATTTTACATGCTTAGAAAACTCCCGTATTTTTATAAAAACCATTGCACTCCTTAGTAGAGATTTGTCTTTTTATGGCAGCAGCCCCCAGGTTATTTCTAAGCAGGAAAGCGTCTTGCATTACTATGACAAGTCGTATTGTCATTAGCTGCGTATTTTTTGCGGGGTGGAGTTTATTTTGTGATTTTTGAGGCTTGTTTCTTTTTTTCTTAATGCTTGAAAATGTAAACGTGTAGTAAATGTTACTATACTATAGTAAAAATACTACTGTACTATAAAAACTATTTTGCTGAACTTGGTGAATTTGGTCCTCAGTGGACCTTTTTAGGCGACCAGCGATCTGCACAATTCACTGTGGGCTTTCTGGCATTTTATTTGTTGATTAGAAAATGTAGAAACATGTTTGTCTGTCATGGAAGGTGAGAGATTTTTATTGTAAATAGCTTTGTCAGCACAGGAAAAGGTTAATTTAGAAGGTTTTGCACATTTTAAGAGCGTATTTGAGCTGCACAGGTGGAGATGAAATGTATTTTGATTATGGCTCACGTGTAAATTGTAATCTGAGTTCAGTTTTAACTGACATTTTATGCACTGTCTCTAGCTATGCACTGCAGCAATCATCAATAAACATGAAATTATATTTAAAAGTTGATTTATTGAATGAACATGTTGAATGAGTAACTCTGGGGGAAAAAAAGAAAGCCATGTCTTTTTATTGGATTTGCATCACAGAACAATGGTGACAGATTATTAGTCAGGCATCCATAAGTTATTTTCACTGAAGACATGGTTGCACGTCAGCATTCAGAAATGACTAATGGCTGAATTTCGGTTTAACTTCAGACGGATGGCTTTGTTCATGATGCCTCACTGTCACAATGTCATGGCATACTGGTGCACAGATCCATGTGATATGTTTTGAATGTGCAGGAAGTTTTGAACATGAGCAGAATTCTTGCTGAAACACATGAGCTGTTAAAGTCCAAGGGGGTTTATGAATAAAGGAAAATGAATGAATGTATTACTGGTGTCAAAAGGTGCCACATGCACATCCGAAATAAAAGACACAATAGAGGACAGAAGACTAGATTTTACTTATGTGTGTTAAATCAGCAGGGATATTAAATATGAAAAATTGATCTATGTAATGCATATCATCAGTTGTGACCTGGTGCCTGAAATTTGTCTCTTCCTTCATATAAATCAGCAATTTCAACATAAACTGAAGCAGAAGAGGCTCAAGTTGGTGCATATAAATTCACCAGAATACAGGAAATTAATTGTTTAATGGTCAAAATTTCTCCCCCCCCTTCTTACTGTGAAAAAAGTATTTACGAAAATTATGATTAAATATAGAGCAAAAGACATTGCTGGCTCATTCATATCTCTTTACTTGACTTCTGAATGTCTCATTTCAAGATTCACCAAAAATCTAACATTTATTCAGACTGTGGTAATTGTGTCATTGTGTTAGTCTTTAGTGTTTACACAGTTTACATAGAGCAGATAGGAGATGAGTGGGGAAGCGAATTAAAAATGCAAGCAGTAAAATATATAATATCCCAGTATAATGTAAGTTGACTACAAGAACAGTCTCCTCACCACCACTCCGCACTAATCACAAAATGAAATCTTCTACAGCAAGCCCTGGTGGAAAAAAAAAGAAGAAAATGAAACTAACTTTTGCATAAACTGCTGTCATTTATTGCCTTTCTGAGTTAGACATCAACCTCGCTCAGCTGCTTTAAACATTTCTGTCTGCTTGTCTCTATAATCTGTAACTTCTTTGACTGCATTCACAATATTCACTTGCAGTTTCAGGCCAGTGTTTATTGGAATAATATATAATATATTCCAATAGTATATAGTGTGTACAGTCACTTTTTTTCCCCCTCAAGATTATGTTAATGTTTTTTTTTGTTTGTTTGTTTATGATTTATGGCATTATAAATTTGTTATGCTGCACAAAACACACCTTTGAACCCCCAGTGACTAAAAATGTGACAGTAGCAAAAACGAAAAGAGACACAAAAACTGCTAGGAGTTAAGAGGGCTATTATTTGTAAGTATTTTTCTGAAATCTTAACTATAAATGGTGCTAGTTTCATCTCTCCATGCATACAGTAAAATTCAAGAAAAAAAAGTGACATCAGCCCCCTTTTGTGAACTGTTTTCCTGCTGCTGGATTCCCCCTCTGATTGGTCCAGGCGCCCGTCAATCATCCGCCGGCCCCGCCCCCGTCCGTATTGACAGCGAACATAAAAAGGACATGTAGCCCCGCCGTTTGAAACGACACACTTAGCCACTTAGCTGGCTAATTAGCTAGCTCGTTAAGCCTCGGACTCCATTGTCCTCATAAATCATTGACGTCTAATGATTTAACTCATCGCGAACCCGCGGCATTTATGTAGTTAACTGGTCATTTTGTTTTTCGATGGCGTTCAATGGCCACCAGCGCGACGATGATGCTGTCGACGAAGACGAAACGCCCTCGAAGCAGCCGCGGTCCAACAAGGAGATGCCCGGTTATTTCCGAAACGAGCCCGGCAGCGAGGCGGCCGCGCCCGCGGGAAGGGCCACACCCGACCGGCGGAGCTCCAACTCGACGGCGAGGCATCGGAGCGACTCGGTGAAGAAGACCAGGCCGCGTAGGTGTTTGCTAGTGTGGGCTCTGGGTATTTACTGGGGACGAAGGGGTCCGCTGCATGTATACAGAAATCAAAGGCGTTCCCCTTCAAAAGATAGCCAGCGCCGATGTAGATGCAACAATAATGTATAGGGTTTTTTTTGTTTTATTTTTAAATGAACCGAAATTATTGTTTAATGTAGTAATATGACATTGACAGTCTGTGTGGCGTTGGTGTTAAATGTAATATCGGTAGTGGCAGTAAATAGCCAGAATCTATTTTGCAACAAGATGGCGTTCGCGGTACACACTGTACTGTTGCTTGTAAGGATGAAGCTGCTCACCATTACCAGCACTGAGACATCATCTCCACTAGTCCCCACTGTCATCATGCATTATCATGTTAGAAATGTGTGTTTATTATCATGCAATGTCATGCATTTTATTATTTAAAAATAATCTTTTTTTTTTTTTTTTGCATATATTATCTCACATAATGCAGCATTTCCCTGGTTTGGGATGGACATTGGAGGCACTCTGGTGAAGCTCGTCTACTTTGAGCCCAAAGACATCACAGCAGAGGAGGAGCAGGAAGAGGTGGAGAATCTGAAGAGCATTCGGCGCTACCTGACCTCCAACACTGCCTATGGCAAGACTGGCATCAGGGACGTGCACCTGGAGCTGCAGGACCTGACGCTGTGCGGCAGGACGGGCAACCTGCACTTCATCCGCTTCCCCACGCACGACCTGCCGGCCTTCCTGCAGATGGGCCGCAACAAGCACTTCTCCAGCCTTCACACCACCCTCTGCGCCACCGGAGGGGGGGCGTACAAGTTTGAGTCTGATTTCCGTACGGTGGGTGTGCAGTTGTGCTTTTTTCGGGGGCGGGGGTTGTTTTCACAGGCAGTGAAGAGACACAAGGAGGAGATTGAGACAATTGTGAGGTTATAGCATGTTCCAAAAAGCAGTTAGATGAAGCACTCCATCTTGACAAATCAAAGCAGATTAATTTTCCGGCAATAAAACATCAGTTACTGTACTTGGACCAGTAATTACTATGAACGAAAGCCTTGTTGTTGTAGTAATGTGGCCTTAAAATATGAATAACGTGCTGTATTTTGAAAGAAATAGAAAAAAACATCGTTTGTAGTATGTTTCTTCTTTTTAGCGATACAAACTCCTGTTGAATTGTAATTAAAGTTCCTGTTTTCTGACCCTCCCTGCATTCCCTCCTCCCCCAGTTTCCTGCCTCTGTGCTCCCCTAAACCACATCCCCTTCGTGAGGATGTTATCCATGCTCTCTTTTTCTCTCATAAAACAAAGATGGCCGACCTGCAGCTTCACAAGCTGGACGAGTTGGACTGCTTGATTCGGGGGGTGCTGTACATCGACTCGGTGGTGTCCAGCGGCCCCTCAGAGTGCTACTACTTTGAAAACCCCACCGACCCAGATCACTGCGTCCAGAAGCCCTATACACTGGAGAACCCTTATCCCCTGCTGCTGGTCAACATCGGGTCTGGGGTCAGTATCCTGGCCGTCTACTCCGAGAACAACTACAAACGAGTCACTGGGACCAGGTAATAACTAGTTGGATGCTTGAGGGTGGAATTTAAGATTCTTAACAGGCTGTGTGCTCATGAGTGAATTAGAAAATATTGTGCTAACATGCATTTTATATCTTTAGACTTCGTATATCGGGGAAAATAACTGTGATATAACTACATTTTCAGAAATTCAATCAGATTTTGTTTAGGATGCCTGTGCAGAACCTTAAAGCAAATCCATGGGGCCCCCTGCAGCTTGCCTCAAGTGGACTCTGCTTCCCTTTTTTTCCCCCCTATTTAATGAAAGTTTTAATTTATACAGCGCCTGAGGCTCTTGTATTGTTTTGCTGAAGAGCGGGTCCCAGTGGGTGTGCAGTGGCTGCAGGGGAGCACGTTTAAGCAGCAGATTTTTCACAATAAAATCCAACAATTGTGTATCAGAAATCTGTTTTTTTAGTTTTAGTTTAATGCATATGCACACACGTATTCCATAAACTGTCCACTTTTTATGCAAGAACCTACTACAGGACATGAAGTGCAGATGATGCATCTAATCAAAAACTGAGTCAGAAACCTTTTTTTTTTTTTCTCATCTATTAAAAATACCAAACTTTGCATTATGCAGGCCAGCGAGCTTTTTCAGCCGTTCTGACCCACAATCCTCTGCACAGTGGAAGATGCATCGTATACGTCACAGTGTCTCGCTCAAGTATAAACAAGGTTCAGCCATCGACACAGCGCAGACAGACGGCCGCTCAGTTCATACTGCGGACTGCGACAGATATATGAGCAAGACGAGCAAAGCTTTAAGCACGAAGCAGCGCGTCTCATCGTTAGGATACTGCATGCTACAGTGTGTAATTTGTACGGGCAGCTGCAGTACGTTCTGAAAGAAAAAGAATGCTATTTGAAACGCAGGGCAGCTCCAACTCATTGAGGGATTTGCAGGAAGGTGCAGTCCGGTCGAGTGGGTGGTCCGTTTTGTGACGTCTCCCCTCCGTGTCTCCCTGGTGCCTTTGTGTGAAAACTAGCAGCTTTTTTTTTTTTTTTTTTTTTTGAGTCGCCTGTTGCGCAACCACTTCCTTTTACCGAACTTGTCTATTGCCTCAAAATGTCTTTTTTCTTTTCTTCCTCTGTTATTTTGATCCAAGTTTAGTTCCAACTTTGAAATATGTTAGTTAAACTGAGGGTTTTGTTGTTATTTTTGGTAAGTATTCTTTTTTTTTTGTATTCCCTCCCACTCTCATTCTGTCCACTGGTTTGTTTTCACATGCGGTTTCTCTGTCTGGTGGATTTGAAAGGGACTCGTGAATGCTTGGTTCTGCCTCGACATAATGGCCCTCTGTTCCCTGTGCTGAGTAAGAAGCACTCGTGTATTTGAATCAGGAGTGTGCATAATGTACATAATCTTGTTGAAGTGGTGATCTCTCTTCGCCTACAATTTTAGACCCTATTTTACACATTGCATTGGCGCAGTTTAAAATTCCTGGAATCACAAGTGGCTTTGTCGCTCTGTGTGTCGGCAGCCTCGGCGGTGGGACCTTCCTCGGCCTGTGTTGCCTGCTGACTGGCTGCTCTACTTTCGAGGAAGCCCTGGAAATGGCTTCTCAAGGGGAGAGCACCCGTGTGGACAAGCTGGTCCGGGACATCTATGGAGGAGACTATGAGAGGTTTGGACTGCCGGGCTGGGCTGTGGCCTCAAGGTGCGGTTCACAGCTGCTTCTTCTGTTTCTTACTGTAGACCACGAGCCTGTTTGTGATGGATTCCAGCATAAGTAGGGCTTTAATGAAGCGAGGAAATGGCACAGCGCGAAATTTACTCCATTTCCAACATCAGGGGCGAAACGAAAAGGCTTCAATTTTATGCATTTTAAACAAGAAACTTCCATCTGTTAGTACAGTTTCAAGTGAATACCAGCATCTTACAGCAGTTTTCATTTAGCCAAGTATGTTCTGATGCTGTCTCTGTCGTGTGTAGCGTTGCTGCATGTGTTCTCCTGAAATCCTAAAAAGATAAATCTTGTTTTGTTTTGCTAGTTTTGGCAACATGATGTCCAAAGAAAAGAGGGAGTCTGTGTCCAAGGAGGACCTGGCCAGGGCAACACTAGTCACCATCACCAATAACATCGGCTCCATCACCAGAATGTGTGCTCTCAATGAGGTTAGTGAACGCCACGGTATGTGATGAGGAGTTTGGTGTTTTTCTTGGTGTGCAGGGATGGCACAAGAGGAACGATGATGACAGAGTGATTAGTAAAGAGGTAAAGTGTTGAGATAGTTGCCACATAGCAGTGGACTGCAGCAGGTAAGTAGCTGATGAAATTTTGACAGCAAAAGGTTTGTCACAGTTCTGAACTGAGTCACAATTAGACCTTCAACATACAGGAAACATCTTGATGCAAACGTTATTACAAAGCTACCAAACGCTAAAGTGTGGTGACACATTTGGTGATGGTTCCTCAGTTCCTTTGTCCAGACAATGTTGTTTATGCAAGTGCTGGAGAAGATTTTGTCCAGATCTGTCAGTCCTGTGGTATCGTCTGTTCCCCTCCATTGTTCCTGTCATCCATTTCCTCTTTGCATTCAGCCTCTTTACGGTGCTGCCTTGTGGCGTCTTGATCAAGCAGCATTGTACAGGGCTATGAAGGCGTAGAGGAGCTGAACTGCATCATTCACACGGCTTTCACAGCATAAAGAAAGCAGAAAAACCGACAGGATTAGGATGTTAGTTGATTTAGCAGGAGCATGTTCTTTATTTATACATTTAAGCTCAGAAAGGTCTGTTATTTCCTTCTGAAGGTGCCGACATTGTAGGAGAAAATCAGGTTGCTTAGCTGAAATGTTACTGTTGCTTTCGTGGTATCTCTTGTCATTTGTTTATGCTCTGCCCATTCTCTTTCTTTGCTAAGAACATCGAGCGAGTGGTGTTTGTGGGGAACTTCCTGAGAGTCAACACCCTCTCTATGAAGCTGTTGGCTTATGCAATGGACTACTGGTCCAAAGGCCAGCTCAAGGCCCTCTTCCTTCGGCACGAGGTACGTAACTCTACCCCTCAGAAACCAGAAATAAAATAGAAAAGTCAAAATAGTTTTATTTCGTTTTGTTGCGAGTACCATGAAAGGTTTACTTCTCTAATTTTATTATGCCACCCTGTGTTGCAGAACTTGAAATGTGGTTTCTTGTGTTGATAAACTCAGTGATTTCTGACTCCCTCTTTGTGCTGTTTCTGTTTTTTTGTTTTTTTTTTAGGGTTACTTTGGTGCAGTCGGAGCCCTGTTAGAGCTTCTGCATCCGTCCTAATCCATCCTAACTACATCCAAAGAAGTACTTGTCAATCTGCTGCAAAGACCATTAGCACTTTAGACTGTTCACAATCAATTCCACAGTGGGTTGTTGCGCCAGCCACCCTCCAGGTACTGGTCAACTTTGGTTGTGGTAGGCACACATTTTGGAAGTCCTGTTATGTTCTCAGAAATGAGGCTGGTTTGTAAAGTGACTTTTTTTTAGTTTTTCTTCACACGTCTGCTGTGGTGGTCGGTGGATGCAAGTCGGTTTCCTGCCTTGAAGTTTTATGCAGCAAAGCAGACAAAGTTGATTGTGTGCAGGAATTTGCAGATATGAGCCAGAGTTGGTCTGAAACATCTCAAGGAAAATCACCAGGGTTGCCTGAAATACTTATTTTAAAAAGTACTTGTCATCAGGTAGGCTTGTCTTGTTGACTACATTTCCCCCTCAGTGGGTGTCGGGTTCTGGGCCAAATATTTGCAACTACTTTTAACTGTTTATTTTAGCTGACTTGGGCACCAGATGGATGGAGGTATTTAGAGACTGTGACTGTCAGAAAGTAGTTTCAAATGCCCACCTTAAGCTTCCAGAGCCAAAAATTGAAAATGCGTGTTCTAAACTCTGATATATTCAGTTTGAGTTCAGAATTGCAGTAAATCTTCACATTTAGGAAGGATTTTTGTGTTATTTTTTGCTAGAAAATTGCTTAAATTGTAATGATTGTCACATGATCAGCTATTGTTCGATTGATTACCAACAGTGTGAGCTCTACGTAGTTCTAAAAATGCACGCTGTTGAAGCAAACACCGCCGGTTACTCTTGTAAAAGTACTGGCTGTTTTCAGGATTCTGTAACTGTATGGTCCGGGCTGAGCTTTCATCCACCTGGTTCTCTTGCCAGAACAAGCTAGAACACTGCAAAATCCTATATGACCACTAAATCTTAACCTTTTATTATCTGTGAGCATTTATTCATTGTCACTAATTGGATTTGAGCTGACGTTGTGAATGGTGAATTGTATTTAACAGTTACTGCAGAAAAACCAACCAACTTTTTCTCACTGTGTCACATTTCAAGTTACATTTAGTTCTCACTCATAAACTGTTGGTTTAGAATCAGTTTAGCGTTTTTAAATGGTTTCTGTACCTATGAACGGTAAATATTTCACTGTTACAGTACTTAATTGAAATCTCAATGCTTGTAAAGTTAATGCACCCGTTTGTCTTACTGATAAAACTGCACCATCATCTGCACTGCTGAAGTGCCCTCAAGCCATTGCATCCTTCTACTTGTACAGATACCTGCACAAATAGTAGAGGATGACATTAGGGCATAAGGTCCTTGAATTTCCCAAGATTCAAGAAAAAGTCTTTGATGCAAAAAAAAACTTGATGCAAACTTCCAGAGGAGGTGACCCCAGACCACTTCCCTCTATGTTTAGTGTGTATGCACTCGTGTCCTGGCGTTTTCAGTTTAATTCTCATCTTGGTCCAACAATCCTCCTGAGGGTTCAGCTTTTGATAAGGATCTACAAAGAAGACCATCTGATGTGTTACTTGTTTGTTTCATTTAATCCGTCCCATTTTGATGTCCTCTCGTAGTTCAGTATTCAGTCCGTCTATGATTTACAGGGACCACAGTAAACCCTAAACTACCTAATAAAGACATTTCACTCACTAAATGGTTAGAGACAGTTATCGGCTGTCAGCTACTGGAGATGTTGCATCTGCAAGTTGTACATACAGCAAGTTGAGTTTAAATTAAGTGCCTATAATGTTTTCTATAGAATACAACACTGTATTCAGCAATGTGATTTTAAGATTAGAAAAACTGACGTGTGTTTCTAAAGGTTTCCCTCTGTTGTTTGCTTGTACGTTGCAAAGAAAACTTTGTACTTTTTTGTAACAGAGCCATGTCACATTTCTTATTGGATTTCCCTATTAAATAGGATCTCTACATATCTTTGACTGCTTGTGATGTGTTTATTGAAGAACTTAGAAGGTAAACATTTGGGGGACGACGTCGGCTAGTTAGTAAAGAAGTCATTCCATCTGAAATCATAGGGAGCCTTCTGATCAAACCTCTATTTAGAGGCTACGTTGGACTTACATGTAGCTGCATGTCACAGTAGTAATACGTATATTGTGACGTGCAGTGACATTTAGTTCAGACCAGTTTAAAACAAAAAGCCTTTTTATGACAGCTTTGTTTAGTTTTATCATTTTAATCCATAACCAGAGACTATTTGATGTACTTGTCCAGTATTGAAGGTTCTAAACCAACAACATGATGAGAAATGACAGTGAAAATTCCCTTTATTAGTTCCTGAGATACTGCCAAGAAAAACAACACGATTTCAATGTGCAAAAAAAAAAAAAAAAAGATAATAAATTAAAGTGCCTGAAGTGGGCTTTAAAAAAATTCTATCTTAAAGTATTTGTTCTATCAACCTCAAATTTGACAGACACACAATTTTAATATTCATAGTTTTGGAGAGAAAAAACGTCTAACCAAATTTAGAGATTGTAGAGCTGAACTTTTTGATGATTTGAGATCAATCCACCCAAAGATATGTGTTCACTCATAGATATGTATAATAAAGGCCTTTATATACATACCAATGTGTACACTAGCAAGATTTAGCAGTCGGCTAACTTAGCCTAGCATTTACAGGGCAACAAGCAAGAGCCACCAGGAAGTAGCTTATATATTATCATCATAAAATGATAAACTATGATATTTTTGTTAGTTTCTTAAAAAAACCAAAAAAAACAAAAACGTGTTTAAAAGTAAGCTTTGAAGTGCTGGTAGGTTGACTTTATTATGTTTGAAATTCACAGTGCTACCTGTTTCTGGTCTTTATGCTAAAGTGTTCAGCTCGCTGACTAGCCGCTAGCTAACGTTAAGCTACTTTTTTTTTTTTTACTATGCAGGTATGCTGTCATTTTTAGAGAGTTAGTTAACTTGGCAAAAGGCAAATAAGCATATTTTCCCAAACTAAACAAGCTTAATTTTGGATTAAGCCTCCAAAAAAGGTGAATTGTGTGTTTTTAAGACTGTAGTGTGGTAAACTTGTATGTATCCGACCCTTTAGCATTAGCATGCTAGTCCATGTTGATAAAGCTTTATACTTAGTAAGCCTTACTAAGAAACCCATCACTTCCACATCTATGTGAGTATGTCTTTAAGTAATATATTTTTAAAAGAAACTTGTTTGCAGCTTTTTTAGGTTGTCTTTTGTGTTTAGCAAGGATGAAATTGGGCCAGATGTGATTAAAAACTGATTAAGAGCTTATTTTTACAGCTGAATTTCCCAGTTTATATCATCTACAGCTTCTTTTAACTGGATTAAACAGCCACAAGGTGCACTTATACCTGACTTTATGTATATGGCAAAAGCAAAAGTGTGTCTTAGCTTTTCTTGTAATCAGGCATCACATTTAGAAGGATTATAGTCAATACTATAGCACTGTTTCTAATGTGCCTGCTGTATGTGTTGGATTTGTTGAATATTCTTGTTAGACTTTAACATGATTTATAGATGTATTACTTATGTAAAATAGAGAAATTGTCTCTTTTCCATGTCATTTTGATGCATTTATAACATTTCACGCACAATTTAGGGGCTGTAATCACTTTGGAAACAGCACTGTAAGAGTTGAACTGGTCCTTTAAAGCTATTTTATCAATTAAAATGACTAGATTGGTTATAATGTAGGGCACAGAGCAGATAAAATTACCCAGAAGCACAAGGATAATTGCTCCCACAGACGGCAGTTAGTTTGTGGCACAGTGCCTAAGTTCAGCTCCGTCTCCTTCAGTGTCACAGCATCACCAGAAACCTCATATACGACGTCTGTATTCAGAGACTGAACCGTGCTGAACAAACACATTTATTTTATTTTATTTATAGCAGCAGCATGATCCGTACCTTCTCCAAACTGATAAAGGGGCTGTGACTTCATTGACTATATGTATGGCAGTGTTTCCTGAGCCATCAAGTCAATGTAATTATAATAAAATGAATTGCCAAGGAGTTATTATTGGGATGTATTAGTGTCTTTTGATACTTCACAATGCTTCAGATGAGCTTTTTTTTTTCTTTAAATTCACTAAACAGGTTTCATCCAAATCACAGAAAGTATACAAATAAAACAAAAAGGAGAAAATTCTTGCTTCTCTCTGGCTATTTAGTAGGATTTAATTCAAAATCTGACTCAAAAAATACAACACCAAAAACAAAACATGTAGAAAATGTATCTGTATTACATCTTTTTCAAAACCTTCTTTGTTAATCTGGACAATCTGCATCCACAAAACCCAGTTTGCACACTTTTAACTACTTTCTCCTCCCTGTTTTTACTTTTGCAGTCTGATCTGTGGGCTCCCCCTCCTCACTAATCCCAATTTAACCCCTGATTTTTCGTACACTTCCTGACATAGACAGCATTTTTCTTTATTTTTTTTGGATGGGTATAACGAAAAGCAAAATCCTGCCCAAGGTCTGACACCTGGATATAATTTGCTAAAGACGGATTATCACTCAAAATGTGTATTTCTACAAATATTATAGGGGCTCTTTGTCGGGTAACAGCTGTCTAAATAAAGCGTGTTATGAAGAAGCGCACACACCGTTTGCGGAGTCTTGAAGGCGCAGACTCCTGAGCGCGCTCGCACAGTTTTGGTTGTAAATCTCGCGCGGACACGTGCGTGCGCTTCACCAGGCACGTAGGCGTCGCGTGAAACGAGCGAAATTCACGTTTTTTGGCGTTTCGTAAGGCAAGACGGCCATCCATGAAAGAGTTAGTGTCTTTCCAGGGAATAAATCCAGCCCCCTCCGGTCCTGCAGCCTCCTCCTCCTCCTCCTCCTCACCGAGGCTGTACAGCTGGCAATTTACGGACAATAACGCCGAAAGGAGTAATTGGCTGCTGGGTGGACCGTTGCCCCGCAAATTGGACACCGCGTTTGATGGAGGAGATGATTTAGCGCAAGAACTGGGATATTTATTAACCTCTTTTCTTTTTTTATGAAGTTTTGGATCATCAAAAATTAAGATCCCCTCCCTTCTCCAGTGGAACCGTTACAACCTCCTCTCATTGGCATTATAAGGTAAGAAAAAAAAATAACTTTTATTGTCTAAAAATTCAGTTTGAAATCATGCTGTAGCTGCAAAACTCAAATTCTTTGCAAGATAAGTTCGCACTAAATCTCCCTAAACTGTTCGAAGGCAGCAGTATGGATGTTTCAAATACTTATCATAAACTGCATTTTGGTGCTACTTTGAGATCTCTGTGCAGCAAAAGTGATGCTTGAGAGTCCCTTCATATACAACCCAGCTGTATCTGCATCTTTATGAGCTCAGATTGGTGGAGTGTGCTGCTTCTCAGGCCGCTTTTAGTTTGCAGAAGATTAGAAAATGTGAGGAATGTTGCAGCAGGAAAGATAAATAGTGACATGGAAAAAGGAGTCTGTGCATTCAGAGGAGTCCTCCAGGTTAATGGGGTGATGTGCCGATGTGGGAACCACCTACTGGGATCTGGTCAACTGGTGCCATAGTCTTAATCATGGATGGTAAAGAAGTTGCAAGTATGTTTGTTAATGCATCAGTTAGCTATTTATAAGAACAATGGAGTAATAACTTTATTTTACAAGTTACATGTTAATAAATGGGCCTAATCCAAAAGTAATTCCTAATAATACGAGTCCTTTAGCAAAAATGGTGCTAAAAATTGGCATCTGGGTCCTTTTACGGAACCAGAAAGCCAACGAACCCAGCGTCCACTCTCTGGGAACTTCTAGGAAACGTTCAACCGCCACATATTTCCACTTTGAGCAGCTCCTATCTCAGAAATCCATCTCGTCCCTCATCTCTGGTTTCATCTGCCGTCCGTCATCCGCCTCCCTGTGATGTGGCTCGTGTTGACTCTTTTAGGGATAAAGTTTCACCAAAGTTCCTCTGAGGTCAACAACATGCAGCAACAAGGCAGGGAGGTCCTCTCTTGTCGTAGCCCAGGGAGCTTTCCTCTGCCAGTTTATTTCAGTGCACAAAGCACAGCCCAGCCCGGCACAGCACGGTGCGGATCTCTGGTACTGATTTAGCAATTAGAGACGAGCCTGTTTTTTCGTGGGAATGTGTGCGAGCGGTGTAAGATTTTTGTGATGACCCAAAGTGTTTCAACAGCTCAGTGTGTGGAGGCAGAGCGGCGTGCTGATCCAAGGGGAACTGCTGCCTGGTTGATTTGAGCCTTTCACAAGACCTGATCCATGAGCACATTGGAATGGTGAGGGCTGACAGAGGAAGAGAAACAGTTGTGTGAGAGAAAGAGACAGGCTCGGTTTGAATTAGGAGTCAGAACGTAGGCATTGGTCTTTTGTTAGAATCAGTTACAGGCACATATGTGGTGCCTGGTGTCATGGAGGTTCCTTATTACAAAAAAATCACGATAGCGTTTTAATATTCCTGGCATTTGAAATTTTGTTTATTTACTTGGTCAACTTATTGTCTCATTATTTTGTTCTTTAGTTAAAGTATCACTACACTCACTTGCCCACTGCCTGGCTGCTGTGTGTTGGCCTCCCTTGCAGGATAATTCAGTTTAATTCAGCTTGGAACTCATTTTCATACTTTTGGGTGTCATCTCCATCATTTATGATTGCACTGGACGATCCAAATGTACATCTGAGATCTGAAGACATGATGACTTTGCCGCAATAAAGTCCAGCCACACAAGAGATCTGCTTTATGAGTGAGCACACTGAAAATGTTGGTAATGATCCATCTTTGCAGTGTTAAAAAAAAAAAAAAGATAATTCAATTTTTTTTTATTTTTTTTTTTAATTAAAAATTTTGGCAACAAGTGTTCCAGAAAAATTATGTTAAAATAGAGTGGAGCATTACAACAATAAAAACAGGAAAAACTTTTTAAAATACAAGCAAATACCTGCAAAATAATGTAAAATACAGATTTAAGTTAATAAATAAAAAGTGTCATTTTGCAGTCACGCATTGTAAAATAAATTACTGTAAAAATACAGATTTTTTTATGTGGACATTATTAACTGTTTGGGCCTTTTTTAATTATTTTTTTTTTTACCATCACCTTTTTTTTTCTTTTTTTACTAGATATCATCTGTATTTTAACATCTGGAAAAAAATCTATAAAACAGTAAAAAAAACAAAAGTATTATCATATTTAATCTTTAATATAAACAGTTTTCTCTCAAATAACAACAAATATCTGTAATATAACAATATTTTTTGCTGATTTAATTACAATAAAACATATAGTAGTTTTACTGTAAAATACTAAAAAACACAAATTAGCATTTATATTTTTAAAAAGCGATTTTCTAATGTCAACATAATGTGCAATTTTTGGTAGTTTTCATTGGTTAACATGTATATTTAGTTATTTTATTATATTCTGTAAAATATCAATACATTTCTTGAAAAAAATTAAAGAACTGTTAAATTTTTATTTTTTAACAGCATATGAAAGTCAAATCAGGAAGCGGTCTGAATATTATGATGGATGTTAAGAGTAAAAATTAAATGTTTTGAAATTTGATATTTTAAAAACCTTTACTTAGTAATTTTAGCAGAGTTGAATTTATTCATGAACAGAGAGGAGACTGCAGCCTGTTGCTTCCAATCAAAGTGAGAGTGATCTGATAAAACATGTCTACAGTTTAACCTTCGCTCTTTCTTTAAAATATTGTGTAACTGCATACTTTGCTGCTGCGAGTCATTCCAGCAAAGTAGTGATTCATGAGCGCTTGTTTAAATCATGTCAGGATCTACCATAGCAGCTGGAAGTATGCCTGCTTATGTCACAATGTAGTTTGGGCATAAGTAAAGAAGACAGAAACCAAAATAACAAGTAAAACTTCCTTTAGATTAAATATCTATATCCCGTCATCGTGGGATGTATTTGATGCAATTTTGAAGGTTGAGGAAATGAGCGATGAATATTTTATTTGTATTTTTATGAGATTCTGCATAGATTTTTTTTCTTTCCAGTGTGAGTTATCATTCAGTTTATTTACCAGAACACCCTCTTGTGTCAGCAGCAATATGAGATGGATTGTGTATCTGAGCATTTAATAGAACACATCATATGCTCAGCGTATGTTAGCAGGGAATGTTCTGTTCTTTTGCAAATAAGCAACTTGTTTTTGATCTTAATCTCTCCTACCAGTTGAATTGAGACGGGAAAAAAAACAGTTTGAATAAGGTTCAAGACGCAGAACGTTATGTGACTTCAGGTACAGCGTCTCTGCCTGTTGCAGCTCAGGCTCACCGAGTCTTTACGTAAACATGCGTGTCCTTCCATACAGCGTGAAACTGGACTCAGACCATGCAGTCAGTCTCGGACCATGTTTTGCAGTGGGCACCTTTAAGTTTGTGGTTTCTGTACAAACACATCACACTACTGTATTTGTGTCTGTGGATGGAACAGCCCCCCCGCTCGCTAAAAGCTAAGACGGAGAGCAGCCCTGCAGTTATCAATAGCAGGCCTATGCAGTGTCCTCCGCATACCAGAGCTGTACAGAAAGGTTCACGTTTTATAGGGAAAATCTGGCTTTTTGTATCCAAAAATATTAACCCAGAGGAAAAATGTGCTGTGTGTTCAAAACGGCGCAAAGACAATTAAAAATCCTGCACAGAAAGCAACCAAATGTAAATAAAACTGTAAAGAGCGGCTGTTATTTCAGACATATGAACCTTCACGGAGCCTTTGTGATCAGCCCGATGGTTTAAATGTTCCCTCTTATCCCTCCACACACATCCAGTCAGCAGCCACCAGATGGTTCGAATCAAACCTCTGCAGCAACTCGACGCTGTTACATCAATCATACCTCCATATGCCCGGCATATTTTCAGCTCCTCCGCGTGAGCTTTCTTGGTTTATTTTGAAAATACGCGAATGGTTTGTGTATAATGTGCTTTAAACGTCACTGCTGTGGCTGATGAGAATCCACTTCTACAGGTGTCAGAATATTCTACAGGCTATTACAGCTCTGTACATGAAGACAGGGGTGTTTACAGACCCTCAAAGGAGCAAAATTGGAAATGTGACACCTGAAGGGTCAAATTTTTGCCTTGAAATCACACTAGAGTGAGATTTGAGCTCAGTGAAAGTGCAGTAAGAGCACATATCTTTAGGAAAATATACTCTATCCAGCATTAATATCTCTACCTCATTATTATTTATGGCATTGTGACTTTTTTCTAGTCTTCTATTGTATCACTGCACAGACTGTAAAAGCATGTGGCAAATAAAAACTCTTGATTCTTGAGGGATAGTTAGATTTTATGACATAAGCTGACTTGCTTTATGAGAGTATGTAAAACTGTCCTGAAGCTAAATGAGCAAAGTTATTTTTTGCACATTTTTAGCGCACACTAATAAGCATCATAAGAAACTGGTTCTGTAGACAATATATGGGGGTCACATCATTTTTGCTTGCAAAAAGATAAATATGATATTGTTTAACTTAATATGTTGTTGTTGTTTGATGATATTTTCAGGTATATATTTGCCATATCCTTCCCCACCTTCTTGACTGTTTGTCTCAATTTCACTCAGTCATCCATCCATTATCTATACACCTCTTAATCCTCACTAGGGTCGTGGGGGGCTGGAGTCTATTCCAGCTGACTCAGGGTGAAGGCAGGGGACACCCTGGACAGGTCACCAGTCTATCACAGGGCTACACTTAGAGACAGACAACCAAGCACACTCACATTCACACCTATGGAAAATTTAGAATCACCAATTAACCTCAACATGTTTGTGGACTGTGTGGGAGGAAGCCGGAGAACCTGGAGAGAACCCACACTGCACTGTGTTACCAACTGCGCCACCTTGCAGCCCTTCACTCAGTCATTACAATACAAACACTTCATAAGTTGTTTGCATCCTAAACTGATAATTATTTCTCTAGAAGTCAACCTAAAAAAGGCCAAATATGCTTTAATTTATTGCCAACTTGAGACAGTCTTCCTATTTATAGATGTGTCCTCAGACTTGTCTTTTCTCTATGTGCAGCTGAAATAATGGAGAAGTCCAGACAGCGGTTAGCGTTCGGCCTCCTGTTTGTGTTGTGGTGGCCCTGCTGTTTAACCCAGACCACACCGTCAAACGCAGCCACGCCGACTCCCTCGCCGCCTCCCTCCACATCCCCTCAGCCCCAGACCGAGCGGCTAAAGGTCAGGCTGGCCGGATACCCTCGAAAGCACAACGAGGGCCGGATAGAGCTGTTCTACAAGGGCGAGTGGGGAACCATCTGCGACGACGACTTCTCCATAGCCAACGCACACGTGCTCTGCCGCCAGATGGGCTTTGTCTCGGCCACGGGATGGACCCACAGCGCTAAGTACGGAAAAGGCCAAGGTGAGTTCCAGGTTTAATACACGGTGTGGTCTGCATTTTGGGGATTCATACAGTTCCAAATGGCTGGTTGAAATAGGCACACACACTGGGGATATTAAAATGTTCGGAAATTAGACGTTGCCGACAGAAATGTGTGCCAAATTAATATTTAGACAGCTGAAACCTTAGTAGTTGTACTTGGCAGTCCCCACTTTAACTCTGTTCCAAGTGTCCATTGTTAGTGAATACTTAGTTATTCTAGCAGCACAGTTCAAGGCTGAGCTTATATCTCAACAACTACTATTTGAATTTCCACAAAATGTAGTTTTCATGACCCTCACAGCGCAACCACTACTGACTTTGGTGACCCCAGACTTTTCCTTACGTCCATGATTTTGACATTTTTTGTATTTTCTGTTTGCACTATTCTCTTTTGTTTGCACTATTTCTTATATTTATATGTACATTTTTTTCTGTCTCGTATGTGTGTATCTCTGTGTTTAATGCTGCTAACAACAACGTGAATTTCTCCACTGTGAGATAAATAAAGGCATCTCTTATCTTATCTTATTTTATGAAACGTCTTCACAAGCGTTTAATTGATTTTTAAGTACTATTGCACAGATAGTCCTGTCCCCTTCAGGATGAATCTTCTTTTTATTGTAGCACATCATCATCAGATTTACATTTTGACTGTATTGTAAAAGCAACCTGTACAGAATGATTGTTCAGTCCCACTCTTTGAGTCAAGTTTTTGGGTAAAAGCATGTGTTTAGTACTCATCTGCGTCACTGGATGTAGGCTGCCTACTGTTTCTGCCTCGCATTTTTTGTGCGATTCACCTCCTCTTCTGTTACCTGTGTGCTACTGTTTAAACAAAAACAAAACAAAAAACCTCTAAGCAGCAGTCTACATGCTAACATGTCAAGCTTTTTCAAAGATTTTATTTGTACCATTAGGCTGCTCTGCTTGTTTTTTTCCCATAAATGAGTCATTTTAATCAAAGTGCTCGCTTCCTTGCATGCAAATGATCCACCAAAACAATTCCCAACTTTGCAGGAGCACCGTTGCTACCTACTGAGCACTGCCCAAGATGAATGTGATTGGTTTAAAGAAACACAAACAAGCCAGAGCACTTTGTTCCCTAAAGCAGAATGATAATGAGGTGCAGTCAGACCATTCTGCACTACGCCTATCCAAGACTAGTTTAGCACTAACTAGCAGAAGTCAGCATGCTAACATGCCAAACTGATGGTGAATGTGGTAAATGTTAAACATCAGCATGTTGCGAGTATGTCATGAAGTTGGTGTTCGCAGGTAGCTCAGCCTTACGGAGCAATCAGTGTGCATGTTGACTTGTAGTTTTGTGCATTTTATATCATGATTAGTCTTGACAAATCTTTACAAAAATTCTTATTAGATTATGTCACAGTTAGGGGCAGAACAATTAATCGATTTCACAGTTCAAATAGTTTTACAAATTCATATCATCAATCATGTGTTCAGTTTAAAATCTATGACACAGTGGCTGTTCAGCTAAAGCTTGACTTTAAAAAATCATGACACAAATCAAATTTGCAATATCTGTCCAAGAAAATCACAATTACATATTTCCCCCAAATATTTTAGCCTTAGTCACAATATTTAACCAACTTAAAGACCATCTGATTTCATGTTCAAGCCATCCCAGCTGCCTCAAAACTACAAAAAAAGTAGATGTTAATTTTGTAAAGTTAGAAACCCATTTTAGTTTTGTAAAATAATAATTAATAGGAATTTGAAACAGACTGGATCACAGTGGGGTTTTTTCAGGTCGTTGAGAACTTGCTGCCGTTAGTTTTCCAGTGCAGCAGGGTGCGTTACAAGCAACCAGGTGTGACTTCCAGGCCTGGACCGACTGCTCTCCACAGGCCTGGATGTGTGCTGCAGCCTCACTGACGGTCTGCTGTCCGTGCAGGAAAAATATGGCTCGACAACGTGATGTGCGGCGGAGGTGAGAAGAGCATCGAGCTATGCAAGTCTCGCGGCTGGGGCAACAGCGACTGCACCCACGACGAAGACGCCGGCGTCGTGTGCAAAGACGAGAGGATTCCCGGCTTTGTGGACTCCAACGTTATTGATGTAAGTTACTAAAATACATTTAAGAGAGATCTTGTAATTTTACTGCGGTGACGCTGATGCTGATTAAGAAGCGTTTATAAGTTCATAAACACTTGTACTGCTCCACAGCCGACAGAGTCTATAAGGTTTAACCCACATGGAAGGCATTTTACGCCTCCATGCAACTCCACCTGTAGTTGCCTCACATATGCTGCTGATTAGCTGTGCTCTATACCATGTGTCTGAACCTGCTGAAAGCTGCAGCTCCTCCAAGTGCACTGCCCCGAGGTGAAGTAGTGCCACTGGTTTAAATCTCTTGAAACTGGAAATGAGTTAGGAGTTAGAGGCTCCAGTCAGATATAGCTGAGTAATACGGGCAAATCTTAAAGCGAGAGTTCAGCCAAAAACACAAACAAACTCGTGTTTCCAATTAGCCAAAGTGCTTCCAGATAGTTTTTGTTTTCCTGACATTTCCTCCAATTGTATAGCGATAAACACCTGGCAGCGATTCTTTGGTGAACTAGAAAGTGCAGTAGTTTAATTACACTGTTCAACATGATCTGTGTATTTCCAGTAAACACACATCGCCTTTTGGGTTTTGGATGCAGTTTTCACAGCGTTGTGTGCTAAAAATGACATAGTACTTTAAAGCAATGATACTTTTTACATTGAACTGCTCTGTAGTGGTTTCATGGTTACCTATAAAAACACAAAGCACCGACCTGCACAGGGAAAAAGATGCTGGAGTGACTGTGGCACCTACTTCATATTCACCTATGTTTAAAGTAGTGAACTTCATGACTGGTTGAGCTCCTATTCCACCAAGTTTCTGAGCCAAGTCACCGCTAGAATTTATCATCATATACCCAATATAACACATGCTTAAACCGCAAAAATGTTGTTGTCTAAACGTGGCATGAATCAGTTTCTGATCCAGCCGTGTAAAAGTATTGTGACTTGTATTTGTGTCTTGTATGTGGTCATACTTCGACAGCTTGATGACATGCCTGATTGAGCGTATTGCACCCAGAAATCTGTCTTCAGTTTTATTCTAGTCATAAGTACTACGCAGCACTTCTCTTCATAAAAGCTCCTGAGAAATCATCTTAATGTAAATGATGCTCTGTTTAATCATAATAATGGCACCCTGTTGTGCTATTTAAAGGTACTTGAGGACTCAGCTGGGATTAAGTAGACAGTCGTCTGCATCACCAGATGTATAGTTTCAGTGTAAGCCTGCCTTTCTCCTCGCCTTCTGCTGTTTGTGCACAACCACTTTCACAGTGTATTTATTATGTAAAGCAACAACCTCCGAGCAGCAACCTACCTGCTGAAAACTTCAAGCATCCAAGCTTGTTTTTACAGTGAGCCAGCCATTTTAATGACAGTGTGTGCCTCTCTGCATGCATGTGTTCCAGCCAAACAATTCGCCCATTCCTATTTTGCAGGGGCACCATCACTGCATCCTGGGCTTAGCTCTGCCCAAGACAACTTGTTTAAAGAAGTACAAATAAGTCTTATATTTAGCAAGATGATAATAAGTTGCAGAAATGTGGAGATAGATGTAGCTGAATGACTTAAAAGCTGAGTTTTTTGAAAAACTTGTGCCCTCTTTAGATAAATAAAGAACTGAGGTTATTTTGAACCTTACTCTAAGGAAACACAGTTAGACAAGGTGCTGTCTGTTCTGTTTCCAGCTGGTCGCTATTTTCCATTTGCACTCTTTGATGTTGCATGTTTGCTCGACTGAAAGGTCCGAGGTGAACAAGGTTAGTGTGGTGACTCGTCTAGTGAGATCTCTGGAAACAGCTTGAAAGACTGGATGACGTGTCCTTGTTACACAGAGGGATTATACGAAAAAAACCAAAAGCTTCATAAGAATAAGTGGGTGGACTCTCAGATGCAAAACTACTCTTCCCTCTTTCTGTTTGCTGTGAGTAGAGACTCGGTCAAATGTGGCGTCCAGACTTTAATCTGAGACCACAGCCCTTTTTTTTTTTCCAAATAAACCAGAGCGGAAGTGAGTCAATGCAAAGCTGGCAATCAGAGATAGTCACATTTACCGCTCATGAGCTGTTAGGGAGAAGATTAGAGCTGAAATTACTCTCTGGTGTAGCCATGACTCACAGTGTAGTCTGTTCTTCTCATTGAGGAGACCTGAAGACATGTGCATGAGTGAGCACATGGATGTGTCAGTGTGAATACAAGGAAAACTGTTTGGGTGTTTCTGCTCTTTTGTTTTCTGAAACGATATTTGATTCACTTCATGAAGTAAATGACTCAAAACAAATCCGTAAGTTATAGAAAACAAACAGAAAGCTTTACATTAAAGAGATAAATTGAATTGTTATCTAATATAGTTTCCTAAACAGTTTAGTTTTTCAACTCACAATGAATTTATGTGCTAATAATCATTAATGAAGTCCTTCATAAACAGATACAGTTGTTAAATGTTCTTGTTCTTCCAGGCCCAAGTCGATGAGAATAAAATAGAGGAGGTGCGACTCCGGCCGGTGGTTGCTATGGCCAAAAAGAAGATGCCCATCACGGAGGGTGTGGTGGAGGTGAAGTTCAAAGACGGCTGGGCTCAGATCTGCGACATCGGATGGACGATCAAAAACACTCGGGTGGTCTGCGGCATGCTGGGATTCCCACACGAGAGGAAGGTCAACAAGAACTTCTACAAGTGAGTGAACCACGTTGACCGTTAAATCCTGATTCTGGAGGTTAAAGCTGCAGGTGGCAAAGACAAATTTGAACCTTAGGACCTAGAAATTATACAACTGGTCTTAAGATAATAACTTTTTTTTAATCACATCAAACATGAAGCGGTTATTTAAAACAGGTGAAACTAAAGTACAAAAAAGAAAGTCTTCTACTGTTTACGTCTGCACATCTGACACCAAAACTATACTGACAAAAAATGAAAAATCTGTATTTCCTCATTGAGCAACAACAGACCAACGTTCATCTTCAACGCTACATTAAGGTTTTGTTTGACATTTTGAGAAATTTGCTTTCTTGCCAAGTTATAGATGAGACAGCTGATGCCGATCTTGTGTTTGTACAGCAGCTTGTTAACTTATTTTATCAAAAACATTAAGGTGTAATACCACAGTTAGTCGAATGTAGCCGCAACAAAGCTGGCAGTTCCCCTCTGTTAACTGTATTTATATTAAGCTGTGCTAACTGGCTGCAGCTTCATTTTTAACTCTCTGAAGCTGTTTGTGGGCGTTTTTTGCTCCTGTCACATTTGTACTCACTGTGGGCTTATTTTTCACTGCCATTAAAGTCCTGCACCTCGATGGGAACAGAACAACCATGACTAGAAGTAAAGAGAACTCAGAAAGCGGTATAAGAAAGGTAAAGTGCCATGGATAATTTTTAAAAATGAAAGTTTGATTACAAACATTTAAAAAAACCTGGACTCATCATACACAACATTTTCCAGGGCCCACAGGTGCTACAAACACTTGGAAATGTGGTGTCTTATATGCTATCAATGATTTACTACTTAATTTTTATTTTTTTTTCCATATTAGTTTCCAATCTGCTCTGTTTAAATGCAGTTGCAGTTCAGCCAAAAAGTCTGACTTTTTATCGCATGGCTCTTGGTCACAGCTGAGTCACGAATAACTTCTCAGTTGCGCTGAAGAGAGCAGATTTTTTTTTCACTTTTACTGAATCTAATTCGTGTAAATGAATAATTTTTGGTGAATTTGTAAGTGGGACATTTCTAATAAAGTCATTTTGATCAAACATCACCATTATAAGCTCAAATTTGGTTGATTTTCCGACAGACCTGCGTGTCAAACATGATTAGTTCAAGTTGAACCACTAGAAAGTTGATTCTTTCCTTTTTTACAGTCTCTGGCTTTGATAAATGATGTAATTGTGGTGATTTTTCAAAGAACAGCATGTTTTTTTTAAAACCACCGGTGGGTTTTGAGGTTCAGAGGGTTAAGAAAGAAATATGAAAATGGTGCCAACTTCTCATCTCACTCTCTGCAACAAAGCCAATAAGTGTGTTTCCCAAAATGTCAGACTGGAGCAACAAACAGGCAGCCTTTTTATTACATGAAACCAGTATACAGTAAAACGTGAAGGGTTAGTTTTCCAGTACCCACAGTGGGAGTTAAACTGCTCAGGACAGCGGCTGCAACCTGCTCATTCATTCAGGATGAGAGGTTTGCTGCAGCCTCCTGACATTCCCACGGTTTCAGGCTGTAAAACAGAGTGGCAACACTCTGACCAAACCACAAGCACGATCTTAATCTTTGTTCTGTAAAGACTGGACATTATAGCAACTGCTGTTTACTGTGGTTATGAGAGGGGGAATGTGTGCGGACTTTCTCCGCCGTCTGCCAGAGCTGCAACTCCACGGGACAAAAGCTGAAATGTTTGCATGAGCCTCTGATTCTGTCTGATTTCTTCCATGCGAGTGTGTTTTTGTTTTTCCTTTGGATAAACAGGAAAGACATGCTTTTGTGTGTGTCTCGGTCGGGTCACATATTTCATCTTCTCAGCATCTGTTCATTACTTTAGCAGAAGAAGTTGACGAGTTTGTTGACCGCCTGCAGAAATGAAAAGTACAGTTTGTGTTTTCACATCTGCACTGAAGCAATTATCAGGAAAAAATATATAGGCAACACATTTGGTTAAGCATTTATGGTTTAATTTGTACATTTGGGCAACAAGAAGTCGTATTTCATAATTGGATCAAAACTAAGACCTGCTGTATTCACGGTTTTTAACCCTGGATTGAACAGACCCTGCTGTGTTACATGAGAACAGTGATTTCATTGCCGGGGTCTCAGGCCTTCGTATTCTTTCCCCAGTTCGTCCATCCAGTATGACTGCACACATTCCTGGCTGCGCTCCATTTGAGGTCGTTTTATTCGTGCCCCGTGGATGGTTCACAGTAGCGCGAGGGGAAATGTGTGTTTTCTCTCAGACGTGTGTGAAAGCCGAGGCTCCGGGGAATAGTCTGGGGTCGGGAGAAGGGGTGGTGGTCGCTCACATAATGCACAGACAACAGCGGCTGGAGGGAGGCCAGCCGGCACACCGGACCGTAAAGAAACAGATCGATCGCCTCTCGATGGAGCAGAACTTTAATCCGAGCTTTGGTTTTACTTCACTTCAAACTGTCAACGCTTCAAAAATATACGTCCCAAAAGAGCAACATGAGCAAACTCATGTAGCTCGTCCAAGATTGAAAAAGATGTGTTGAAAAACAGATCAATCTTTATGAGCTCATGCAGCGATTCTGTATATAAATAAGGTACATGTATAAAGAGCGGCATTTATAAACTCATCCAAGTCTGGAGACACATCCAGAAAGATCTGACTTTGTAAATTCATACATGTCATCTATGTTTTAAAGTTTGTCGAGTACAGTCATTAAGTGCGATGTTAATAACTTTAGATACATGCAACGTAAGCTCATACTAAGACTTTACTTGCCAGTTGCTTGTTTTGTGAGAAAAAAAATCATCATCCTCAAGTAATCAGCCCGACTGAAATATAGCATAAATCATAATCAGGACTATTTTTGATAGTATTTACATTATGCAACATGATAACTTATTTTGATTTAGGAAATATAATTTATTTTTTGAACTTTTGAACCTTGTTGACAGTACTTTCCCTACATTTCCCATCATTGGCTAACGGCTGAGTGCTGCAGTTCCTCTTACGCTAAGCGAAGCCGTGTATGACGAAACGAGAGCGTGGATTAGTGAGTTATGCTGAGCCTAAATTTATAGTTTTGAATGTCGTAAAGGTGACTCTCCTTTAACCTGCTGCATCACCATGGTAACTGATGCTGCACACCTAAACTCTGCTATTTATCACAGAGAATATGCAAATGTATTACGTTTATTTCACTTTGATTTGGTCAAAACACCTAAATGCACTTGTTTAATATCATGTTTAAATGGGTGAAGTTTACAGTTTCCAGGCTTTAATGTGTCATGTTAGAAATAAGTAGCCGCTTATGAGTCATTAACTTACAAGATTAACAATTTTGTACCTCCTCTCTTGCATCAGTAAACTTATTATATTCTTCATGGCTGTTAATTACAACAACCTGATTGAACCTTGATTGAAGTAGGAAGCACGTCGTTGGTAGATTTTGTGTGAAAAAGAGTCAAATGATGCCTCAAGCGTTCCATTTAATGGTGCACTCAGAGTCTGATGAAAAAATCCTGGTTAAAAAAGAAAGTTTCATGTCATCATACCGACTATCTCAGATTTGCGTTTTAGGTTTTGTTGAGCCAGCTAACACAGCAAAATCCTGGCTATGTCAAACTTACTTTACAGTGCACCCCTCGGGTTTATCATCAGTTTGGTGAAAGTAACCTGTTCTGTAAACCTGACTCGCCTTCCTCATCAGCAGGTGAACGGTTTAACGCTTTGTGACTGTTTTGTTTAGAGGGTGCACCACTGTGACTAAAAGGAAACACAATTATCACTTTAAGTCCGTTATCTTGTTTGTACAATTGTTGTACACCAAAATCATAAATTAAAAATCTAATTTGAACATTTATCCAACTTAAAAACCAGCATGTAGAGAAATCTGATGTATTTTGTCGGCTTCAGAAACAGCATCGCCTCTGACTGGACGCTCATTGATGCAGTAACAATGACCACCACTGCACCGAACTCCGTGCACTCTGGTGGCCTGAAGTCTGTAACGTGATATTTTTGGATGCTTGAGGAATGTCAGAAATGTTATTCACCACCGACCCTTCATCGTCTTAAACACGTGTGTGTGTGTGTGTGTGTGTGCAGCCCAGAGACACTGTACGTGTGTTTATATGCAGCCGGGGTTAAGTGTGCGTTTACGTGTAGTTTCTCTGCCGTGTGTGATGGAATCTGGCCGCTTCACTGTTTGCAGACGTCTGAAAAAGCGAGCAGCCGAGAAGGTCTCCAAGCCAAAGGTTAATGTTTCAGCCGGTGGAAGGTACACTGTCGCGGGAAAACCCACCGTCCGCCTCCGTCTGTTCGGTGTAGTTTTCGACAGTGGGTTTCCTGTTGGGGTAGAAAATAACCATTTAGCTCCTGTTTCTAGCTAGTTAACCTTTCCCCTACTCTTTAGATATCATATTGTTATGATGTGCAGCATGTGAATGGGTTGTAGATTTCTATTGTATCCTTGTTAAACTCAAAGTTGCCTGACGTGGAAGGTTAACTTTTCTTTGTTTTCTTTCTTTTTATAACATTTCTACCGACATGGCACAGATTGACACCTAATCAAAAGTGCTTTACTTGAACTTTCCAACTCATACAATTCTGTGTGTGTTCACTCAACAAACTAACTCTTCACATGATTAATAGCTGTTTATCAAACACCTAATTGATAGGACAACGTTGTCAATCTGTGCAGTGTCAAGTTTCCTCACACATTAGCTCTTTTAAACTAACGTGACAGCTGGAAATCCCATTCCTCTTTATGGCACGCTTTTTGCTCTTTTGGAGGAGGTCAGTACATTTTCATGCTGGGTTCTTGAACTGAAAGACTCCAGAGTCCATATGTCAAGATACGATCTGTGTCTGCTAAAATCTGCAAATAATTCACAGTGTTTGTTTTAGTCGCCTCAGAGTGCCAGATGGGTGGAGTTTGCCACGTTGGACTCCGAGTGTTCATGTTATAATTGCCTAAAGTTGGAATATTGCACTAATTTGGCACCTTTAAAGAAATTAAAATGAATTCTTACAGTGATTAGCTATCAATATAAATATTTTCTTGTGTTATGAAGCTTAACAGATGACTGTGGTTTGAAGATCCTGTGAAAAAAAAAGTTACTGAATGACAATTAAAATTTCTGTATTCTTTCTTAAAGTTGACAAATCCCATGAAAAGATCAAAATCAGCGATGGAAGGCCTCCATGTCCCATCTGTCCTCTTTGTTCCCTATTAAACATACACATCTGCAATCAGTCAATCAGCAATTAAACAAATCAAAAGCAGTTCAAAATGCTTTACGAGAGATTGACGAAACATAGGATGTTAAAAATAGATTTAGACTAATGCTCACCAAAGTTTGTTTTTAAAAGGTCAACTATGTGTTCCTGTAAACGTAACTCAAAGGAAAAACTATTGAATTTGTTGTTGACTATTTTCATGTGATCAGATGGTGATTGCTTGACTGAAAAGGAACTCTATTTTATTTTTAAAGCACCAATTCACAACATAAGTTATCTCTGGACACTTCACATACTGAGGTCAAGACCTTTAAATTTATATTGTTGTTACGATTCCCTTTGAGCAGCACTTTACCAGCAGTGGAAAGAAAAAAACAAAAACCTCCGGCAGAACCAGGCTCAGGGAAGACGGTCATCTGCCTCGATCGGTTGTGGTGAGGGAAGAGACAGAAGTACAGTAGAGAGAAATTAGACAAACAAAGAGAACAGTGAAGCTTGTGGAGGTTGGTGAGGCGTCAGAGATACCTGCAGAGAGAACAAAACACCAAACTAAAGTAAAGGAAAATGCAATGCTGACTTATAAATATATGGAGCGTGAAACAGAGGAGCAGCCGAGGCCTTTAGCAGTATAACGAAGAGATCATCTGAGCAGCTCTAACTGTTAGCCTCAATGAAAAGGAACGTTTTAAGTCTAAAATAAAAGTAGAGGGGCAGCAAACTGAACACAAACGGGAGCCTGATAACTAAAGGTTCTGCCTCCTATTCTGATTCTGGAAACTCTGGGAACCACAAATAAACCTGCAGTCTGAGAATGAAGAGCTCTGGTAGGATGATATAATACAATAAGACCTTAAAGATAAGATGGAGGAAAAAGATTTCTCTTTGACATGGAGCTGATGAAGAGAAGCTAATATTTCAGATCAGCTAAAGGTTTTCAAGAGAGTTCTGGAGACATCCTGACAATAAGGAGTTACACAAATGCATTAACTAGTTTTTCAGCATCACTCTGAGACAAGATGTTCCTGATTATGACGATGTTGCTCAGATGAAAGAAGGCCGTCCTCGTGAGTTGTTTGGTCAAAAACAACTCCAAGGTTTCTCACAGTAGAACTGGAAAAACTGTACAGCAGCAAGTTTAGCAGTTTGACTAGATGCGATTGGTGTTTACAGTCATTTTTCGACAATATATGAGGATTTAAATATTAAAAAAAATACATTCATTGTTAATTTTTTTCTTTTTCATGGGATGTTGACAATAAGAAAAATCATCACTTGACTCAACTTTTAAAAATTTGTTTAAATATTTCATCACTAAAGGAAGTTTAATAACTGAAACAAAACACACTTTAATTCTAAATAGCAGAATTTGCAGATTCTAGCTGATCCAGGTCTTGATCAGAGGACCAAAACATTTAAAGTTTTACCACTCTGCCGAGAAACAGCTAAAAAACCTGCAAGCACGGGGCACGTGTTCTCTGTTATATGATCATCGTGCTTTAATTATCAGAACATCTGGGTCCTGACACATCTATACTTCACGCCCATCCGTTCCAAACATAAAGCAGTGCCATACGATGTCAATGTTCTAACCTGAGGTCCACATTTTAGCACAGTTTGTACTAACTACGTGACACTGACTGTGCTTTACATGTGACATGGCCAAAGATATATGGACACTGTGACCAAAAAAGGAATGAAAACGTGTCCACATACTTTTGGCCATGTGGTGTATTTTTGTTAGTGAATTTGCTTTTGTGTCATATTTGTGTTTATTTCAGTGCATTTAAGAAGGATGTGTCTGCTTCAGCTAATCTGTTTCTGCTTAACAACCTGGAACTTTATAGTAAAACTACCTCCAAGAAGATTAGATTGTTTCATTCTGCAAAATATCACGTGTAGAGACGCATATTTAACAGCCGTGTTGAATCCGGACACATCCTTCTGAACAGTGTGACTGCAGTTTTAACGTAATGATTGCATCGTGTAACCCTTTGTCACTGTGATTTTTCACTTTGTCACCTCGTTTTCTCCTCCTAACTGTGCAGTCTCACCCATGTTTACCTTGCAGGCAGGCATCCAAAGCTAAAGCTAGCTCTAAGTCTAAACAGAGCAGCCCTGGCAAAAGGTAATCTGAGGACAAACAGTTCAGCGGGTAACTTTAAGCTGTCTGAAAAAGACCCACACACATGCTGCCTCCACGAACTAGATGTCATTTAAACTGATAAAGTCAGAGGGGGGGAGGATTAGCCAAAAAATGTTGGATGTTCCAGAGAATAGGAAAGCTTATTGTCTGAGCCACGTCCAGCCTCTGCAGTGTGACCACCTGCCCTGCACATGTGGCGACTTGTCGAGTTGCTGCTCAGTGATTTTCACACAAAAAACATAAACCTAAACCTGTTTATACCCCATTTATGTGCTTATATGATGCATGTTGTCCAGGATTTTTGATTACAAAGAGCAGTTTGCTGTAAAAATGTTAAAAGAGGAGCTTTTCTTTTTCGCTTACTTGCCAAGAATTAGACAAGACTCACATGTGTAGAGCAAATATATGTTAATAAATGAATAAATGTGGTTACAAAATCTGCCTCTAAAGCTTACCAATGAACATTTTAAATCTCATTTAGTTAATCTACACAAACATATAACAGTGATTCACCACTTTAAGGCAGAGACTCAACAGTTTCTTGCTATGTTTTTATTTTTACATTTAAGATTTTGTACATATTTGACAAAAAAAAAACTGTATCATAGGAATATAAACATATTTTTATTAACAGAATAGTTGACTTTAGAGGCACTGGTAGGTAGATTTGTAGCTGTTTTTGACCATTTTACTGATCTAAGCTAACTAGCTGTAGCTTCATATCTGCCATACAGACATTGATTTGGTATCCATCCTCTCATTTAGCTCTCAACAAGAAAAAGAATAATGTGTGTTTCCAAAAATTTTAAGTAAATTCTAGTCAATATTTTGTATATGGCATATTTTAGACAAACACCATTGCGTCAAAGTGCTTTACAGATTAAAAGATTATGTTTAGCATTAAGAAATTAACCTAAGAAGTTTGAATATTGGGGTTAAGAAGCTATACTGTCATTAATGATGTGATTTTACCTCAATAATTTGCATATTATTGATTAAACGCTATAAAAATTAAATAAAATGCTGCTTTATCTGATTATAATACATTAAAGCTGAGACTCTACAGTGTTATTAATTATCTAGATTAACCAAACTCATGGAATAATATAGCTAGGATCCAACGGTATTATAGATTATGAAGCTTTGAACTAAAATGTGTAGCACTGCCTTTATTGTATAGTTCTCCAGGTTACACTTTTCATGCCACAGATCTAAAAATGTATATTTCATGGTGTAGTATTTTCATGTTAACCTGACTCTTATAACCATGACAGGCATGTTTGTGAGCATTTTGAGAAACTGTTCTGTTCATTCACTCTTTCCCTCATGTGGTCATTTTGGTTTGAAATATTTTAATGTATTACTTGAAAGCTCGATGTCTGGCCTCTAATTTTCTCTGTCTGACTGTAAACACAACGCAGGCATTCATCCCATGTCTCTGCCGCCTTCAGGTTGTACTTGGAGCGCCAGAAGAACTACTTCCACGTTCACTCTGTGGCCTGTTTGGGCACCGAGGTCCACCTGGCCGCCTGCCCCCTGGAGTTCAGCAAGCCCAACGCCACGTCGGCCTGCAGCGGCGGCATGCCGGCCGTGGTCAGCTGCATGCCGGGGCCGCTCTTCATGCAAAACAGCGGTTTGAAAAAGAAACTTAAAATTTCGGTAAAGTAATTTTTGAGGAATGAAAGTTGCACACAAATTGAGATGTAGATAGCCTAAATACACAGATGTTTAGCCTTATTAGCGCTATGTAGGCAGTGTAATTACCCGGTTAGATGGAACTGTAGATACCAGGCTGCTCAGAAGACAAACCTGCTTCAGTGTGGACTCATGCTGTCTCCTTGTTGTTTAGAGCAACGTGAGGTTGAAGGGAGGTGCCAGGGTGGGCGAGGGCCGAGTCGAGGTTCTGAAGGACAACGAATGGGGGACGGTGTGCGACGACCGCTGGAACCTGCTGTCGGCCAGCGTCGTCTGCAGGGAGCTCGGCTTCGGCAGCGCCAAGGAGGCTCTGACCGGCGGACGTTTGGGACAAGGTGAGGAAAGATTAGTCTGGAAAAACAAGTATACAAGGGTGCTTAAGAAGTTCTTGGCTTCACCTGGAAACAAGAGGCCTAACTCCTATTTTGGGGTATAACTGTATACAAGAAAGCCTTATATCAGTGTCCACAAAAACTCAAATGTTTGGAGCAATCAAAGGTGAGGAACGCTTGGAGCTGGCTGCCTCACAAACCTTAATCACCAAACCTGCACCGTCCGACTACTATCTGTTTCCCAGACTGATATCAGAGTGATAATGAAGTCTTTCATGCTGTTGAGAAATATCTGGACCCTCAAGATGTGACCTTCATCTGTGAAGGGATAGAAGTTAAAGGAGACTATGTTGAAAAATAATGCAGTAACAGTTTTTCTGCTGTGTGGTTTTCTGATGAGGCTGAGGACTTTTTGAAGTGTCCTCATACTTTTTAAGATGCACAAGTCCATAGCTCATACTTTGGTGTTAATTCATAGAGTTAATTTAATAAAATCGTGGGTTGACAACCAGCTAACATCTAGCATGCCTAATTAATTGGCTGATTTGGTTTGTCAAAATGTATATTTAGTGAAATGCACATTTCAGCTTTGTGACATCAGCTAGAACTCCAGTGAGACAGATGTTTAAGAGGAGGTCCAAAAACTTTTGTTTTTCAACGTATGGTCAGCGCTCCATTCTGTACGCTACAAAGCATCTAAAACTTTACCATCTAAAAGAAAATGACAAACAATTTTAAAAATTCATTTTTGAACAATTTACTGAGATTTTATAGATGTTCTGTTACAAACTGTATCTAGTAAAATCACAAAAATAAAAGTATTAATTGACACGTTAACCATTAAAAAAACACTCAGCATTTTTACAAATGGAAATTTGTTGTTTTGCAATGTTTGACCCCCAAATTATACCATTTTCCCCTTATTTGAAAGAAAAAATATGTATATTAAGTATTTATTACAAATGGTAGTTTTGTGTAAAGGTTAATGGGTAATGTCCACATCAAAAACCTGCACTTTTACAAATACTAATTTGTTCCTGTACAATGTGTGACCATATAATGACACTCCACCCACCATGCTTAACTCAACCAGTGATTTTCCTTCTGTAAAATTGTTGTTAGATAAAAAAAATAAATAAAGCTTGAAGTGTGTGAGACCTAATGAGATTTGATGTAGCTAAATATCAGTTTAAAAAAAGACATGAGCCCACACAGAAGAGTAAACTGTATGTTTAAAATCTGCAATATTTCTAAGCTTTTACTAGATTTTCTCGCCACATAATCTCTGTTTTATAAAACAGAGAATGAGCTCTGTGCGTTCAATCCTTCTGAAGCAGGATGTGTTTCAAACTGTCTTCAGTGAGGACTTCAGTCAGCAGCTGTCAATCTTCTGCCCCTCTAATCTCTCAGGTCATCTCTTTAACCAACAGAGCTGATAATCTGCCCTTAACATTCCTACATGGAGTCCTCGTTTTGGGGCTTTTTAATAAGTTAAGGAATGCTGTGCATGAAGACAGACAGCAGACACTGAACATTTTCTGTAAAAACCAAACAACACTCCAACTTCTACGCTGCACTCTCTGATCGAGCTGCTGCAACATTTGCCAAATCTTAGTGTCTGAACTCCATCTGTGACTAATTTCTTTCTACAAATTCAAGGCCACATTCCTGATAATAATCCTCCCATAGAGTTCGTTAAATTGATCTTTTCTGTGTGTATTTTTGATTCCTAAGCGGCGTTCAGGCAATTTTACAGCATAGAACTGTCCGTGTTATTCCAGCTCGGCTATGGACCATTTCACATGACAATGAGGCGGTCGGTTTTTATGGGTCCAGCGTGTGTCTGAGCCACTTGGCCTCCACATGGATGATGCTAAATCAGATTCAAGATAGCGATGATTGGGCCTGTAAAACTCAATGCCAGACACTCGTGGTTTAAAAGTACGGAGGACGACCTCACAGAATGGGATTGATTAAAAAATGGCGAGCTGTATTCTGAAATATATATATTTTTGATAATATAAGAACAAAACTCCTGGTAGCTTGTCCTTAAGAACTCACACATACACTCACAGAACTTCCTTGCTTGGTTGGAAACTACTTAAAAACTTGACTAAAAAGGTTAATCTGTCTCAAAATTCCAAACTGGAGGCTAAAAGCAGTCAGAACAGGAAACCAGCAGCTGAATGAAGTACATTTTGTGCGTGTGAGTGAGGAAATGAGCATGTCTCCTTGTGAATAAATTATGGTTTAAGCTGCTGCATTTGGAGGAATTTAGTAAAATCTATGACTTGTCCAAGGGTACATAGCATGGCTGCATACGGTTGTTTGTTCATAAGATCATCTAGTTGTGACTTCAGTTGGACACACATCACTGTTCCTGCTTAATCAGGTCGTCAGATATTATATATACAAAACAATAACAGCCCCAGCAAGTAAAAATCTAATTCCTAACTTGAATAAATATATGAAATTGCACTGAAAAATTATGTGAACCCTAAATTTTAATTCATTGAGACTGGAATAAGGGCTGCAAGGTGGATCAGTGGTTAGCACTGTTGCCTTGCTGCAAGAAGGTCGCTGGTTCGCGTCCCGGTGAGGACAATCTTTCTGCGTGGAGTTTGCATGTTCTCCCCGTGCAGCGTGGGTTCTCTCTGGGTTCTCTGGCTTCCTCCCACACAGTCCAAAAACATGTTGAGGTTAATTGGTGATTCTAAATTGTCCGTAGGTGTGAATGTAAGTGTGCTTGGTTGTCTGTCTCTAAGTGTAGCCCTGTGATAGACTGGCGACCTGTCCAGGGTGTCCTCTGCCTTCACCCTGAGTCAGCTGGGATAGACTCCAGCCCCCCATGACCCTAGTGAGGATTAAGTGGTGTGTAGATAATGGAGACTGGAATAAGTGCTTCAGTAGAGAGCAAGTGGAACTTTTTTAGGTTCTTGCAGATGTTTACTTGTCATCCAAGAGGCTTCTTCAGTTGCTTTTATACTGAAGCTTTTCGAATTACAATGACCTGGATGACTGAGAATCTAGATGCTGTTCATCTTGGTACAGATATTGTACATGTGCATCATTTAGTTAGTCTTAAATCATTATTATTGCACTTTTAATTTTATTTTTTGCCAAACACCTGCAAAACTAATGAGATTCTCATCAGCCTCAGCTGTAGAATATGGATGCTAACATGCTAAATGAAGATGAGGGTAAACATTATACCAGCCAAACATCAGTATGTTTTGTCATTGTTAGAGTTAGCATGCAGGCATTAGCATTTCTGTAAGAGATTTTTGAAATTTTATCTAGTCAAGTCTACACCAAGGCTGAAAATCTCCTCCAGATGATTAGAATATACTGCATTTTCGCTGAAAAACATAGCTGTGATATTTGTCTGATTTCTGCAGTTTCTATAACCAGCATTAGTAGTTGGAGTAGTCAAGCCTTGCATGACTTTCACACTACATACTGTATAAAGTACGTCTGGAAACTTCCCTTTTAACCTGCTCTCCGTCAGCGACACCCTGCTTTACATTCACTCTCTAAACGCTCACTCCATCATACGTGTCATCGCACCAGGAGGTGACTGCGTTACGTGAATTCCATGAAAGGAATTCCTTCAGCAGCGCGAGCTTCCGACTTCAGCCACGTTCAGGAATGTCTCTCTGGCTCATTCGGCCGGGTGGTGGTCTGACATCAAACTGAGCGCGGAGCAGGTATGCTGCTTCCTCAAACAGAATCTGTGGCGAGCCTCCTCAGCCAGCTTCCTCTGCGGCAGAAATCATAATGTACAAACACGAGAGCAGACGTCCACGCCCTGCGTTTCTGAGAACTGCCCCTCAAAAGACGACTTGTTTCTCCTTTGGCGGAATCTCAGAGAAACTTACCCAAATTCTCCAAACACCTCAGTGGTTTGGAGATAAATTAGTATTAATTAGTCGGCGCTGTTACCGGAAGTGACATTTGCTATAATTAGAATAACGTTTAATTTCCAGAGATGCAAGAAGAAGGACACACTTCACTACATTTAAAAATGGTCTCACCTTTAACTAATACATAAAAATCAGTAAAAACCATTTAAAATATATAATATTCAGGATTAATTTTTGCTTCTCCAGTAGTTAGAATCATCAGTCTTTCAGGAAACACTTTAAACTAAAATGTCCATTCGTCTGTGTAGATTCTCGGTCATCTTGGTCATGGTGTAACAGACAGTTGCCTTTTGATTCTTGAAGATTTTTCACTTTTATTCGAGAGGCTTCTTCGGTCGAACTAGAGGATCCCACCTATGAATGTCACCCACATTAACTCAACCCATTAAAAACCTGCATGCTTCGAGGTGTGAATGATTGAGAGTCTGTCTGGGGATGGAAGCACCTGGTAAGTGGTGTCATAGAGCGACACTGTTGTACTCCGAGGAGTGTCTCATGTCCTTTAGATGCAGGTGGATGGCTTTTCTTGAACAGCTGGATCTTCTGTGCTGAGCCATGTGCGTGTAGAGCTGTTGTTTAGTCTTCCCTATACAGTTCTGTACAGTACTCTCAGTCATTCAGGCCATTTTAATCCAACAAGCATCTGCAAAAAGCTACTGGACTTCTCTTTTAGATTCTTGAAGACAAAGCCTCTTGGAAGAGGTGAAATGTCTTTAAGAACTTTAAAGAAGCTGCTTTTTACTGAAGCTCTGAGGATTAAATCTCAGTGAAAGTGATTCTGGTAGCAGAAACATCAGTATAACTGGAATTAAGTAAACAACGTGTGCAGCAACAGCTGCAAAAATCCAAAGAAAAAAAGACATTGCTGGACACTAGTGGTTTGGAATAGTTCTGTAGCTCAAATTTACCCAACCGGTCTTTTGAAAGGGTCCAAAAAAGCAGGTGAGAAATCAGCTGGATTGTTTGAATCCATTAAAGAACGCTTTTAAGTCGGTTCAGGCCCAAAAAGTGCTGCAAAATTTGCATGTAACTGCTATAATTGTTGGATTTTGCAGATTAAGACCCAAGAACAGAAACCGGACGAAGCGTGGAAAAATGTAGCTGTTTGCTGACAACGCCTTGTCTTCAAATTTCGCACAAATGTTTAATTAAATTAGTTCATGATTAAACGATGAACTGATTAAAGTTTGGAGGTCGAAAGTCACTGTGAACTTTCACCATACATGCAGAATTTATTTGCTAGTTATGCCGCAATTTCACACGATTTAATGTCTTAACAGGATAAACTTAGGAAATGATAGAAAAGAATTTGAATATCATTTTATGTACAACAAAATTAAGCATCAGTCCTGTCAGTGCATTTTAAAAGTACAAAAGGAAATGTGCAAATATAAGATGTAGCAACTTTTGAAGATACCTTATTTTAATTAATTGTATTTTATTGTATAAAATATATAGAATATATTGCTGGTATATGGTGTAAATGATCTAGTTTTATATTCAGAAGTTCAAAAGTCACGTCTGGACAGACATCAATATAAAACGGAACTTGACCGGTTGGCGCAGACAAACAACCACACGGCGCTAATTTTAGTTTCAGAGGCTCTAAATGTATTGTGTGTGTTCGAGAAGCTGTAACTTCAGATGTAGGAAAAAGGTTTCCGTGGCCTAAACCCACCACTTTGTTTTGGCTCCGGTCGACGCGTGGCTGATGATGAAAGCAAAGCTTCACACTTGTTCCATAAACAGGTCCAACCTCTTTAACTTCAGAGCTTCTGTCTGTCTGTGTGTCCAGGAATGGGTCCAATATACATGAACGAGGTGAAGTGCCTCGGTCAGGAGAAGTCCATCATGAACTGCCCCTTCAAAAACATCACCTCGGAGGACTGTCAGCACATGGAGGACGCTGCCGTTCGCTGCAACGTTCCTTACATGGGCCTCGAGAACACGGTCAGACCTGAACCTCCTGATTAAAATGTCTGATTTCAAAACCAGTGAGCTGTAAACATCACAAAGTTGTTTTTACATGGAATTTATATCAGTAAATGCAAGAAAATATCCTGATTTACTGTTGAAAAATGGGCTAAATGTTTAGTTTCTGTTTCTTTAACGACAGAAAGATCAGAAAGATGTTGAAAAATGCCTTTTGTGTGTTTCTTATTTATTATCTCCTGTCTATTCATCAGTATTTACTGCTCTAACAGTCTTCTTTGTGCGTGCAAGAATGTGAGATTTAAAGCTAACAACAAGAGGAAGGTTGTTTAGAAATCTCACGTCTGTAGTCAAGTAGTAATTCTTCTTTACTGTTGTCGCAAAAAAAGTAATTTTGTCTTTGTTTTGAGGTGATTTGGTTTAATTGTTGGGCAGTAAAAACAACCCAGATCAAATTATATAATTAAAAATATACGTACAGATTAGATCTTTTTGTTGATTTCTTGACAACCCTAATTACTTTTTTTTGCTGGCAACAGTGATTTCCCTCTAACATGGAGTATTTCTGGTTACACAGTTTGCATTTTATCAGATTATACTCCCCCATGTCTGCTGTAGATGCACACAGACGTCGAGATAAAAACTCTAAAAAACATCAGTCAATGAAGTGTCGGATTTTTAAAGCATCAATAAACTAAATAATTGAATTTTACACCTTTTTCATGACGTCACATGTAAAGATTTAGACACTTTTAGAGTTTTTATCCAGCCTGGCTCTTGTGTATCTACGCTCTGCTTCGTGGTTCCTAACCCGCTGGTCCCGCACAGATCCGGATCACAGGAGGACGAACCCGCTACGAGGGCCGAGTGGAGGTGCTGAGCTCAGACTCTAACGGGACGCAGAGCTGGGGTCTGATTTGTGGAGAGAGCTGGAGCACCAAGGAGGCCATGGTGGCCTGCAGGCAGCTGGGTTTGGGCTACGCTAACCAGGGCCTGCAAGTAGGTCATTAACACCACCGAGGTCAACTCTCTGCAGTTACCTTTTGGTATATGTGACATATGCACATGTAATACACTGTCATGTACACCCAGTGGCCTTTTAAATTAGTTGGTTATTCAGTCTCCTGTCGCCTTTTTACTCGCTGTGGGCTCGTTTTTTACGCCAATAAAAAGTCCTGCACCTCTATGGAAACAGAACAACCATGACTAGGAGGAGAAAAACCTCAGAAATACTACTGTGGAGTTTAACAAAGTTATAATGCCATAAATCATAAAAGAAAAAGAAAACAGAAACCCAAATTTCTTTGATTATTCAAATTTAAAAAACATAGAATCAGCATGTTCAACATTTATCCAAATGCCAACAGGTGTAACTAATACTAGAAGAAGAAATGGTGACTCTAGATACAACAGATATTAAACTACGTATATTTTTTAATAGAATAGAATAGAATAGAATAGAATAGAATAGAATAGAATAGAATAGAATAAAATTGAATAGAATAGAACTTGATTGATCCCCTTGGTGGCAACCTTAGGGAAATTGCTAATTTATGTGTCTGCTCTGCGTAAACACTGCCTGCAGTTCAGCCGAGTGACCTATGGCCTCATAGTTGCACTAAAAAACACAGAATGTTTTAGTTTTTTTTTTACTGAACCCTCTTAGTAAAACAGTTTATTTTTAAATTAGAAATGTAAAATAAAGTGATTTTGAAGAAACATCACAATTTTAAGCTTAGATTTGGTTGTCAGAAAGATACAACTCTGACGACTTTGGTTACGATAAAACTGCCATTTGTGCATTTAAATATAAACAAACAAAAACATGCCTTTCCAACCCAGTGGCAGGTTTTGGGGTTCAGAAGGTTAATGTCTTGTTTCTTAAGAGTTGGCAAAATGCCTGTGCAATAGATTATATCAAAAATACTGCATATATAGTAAATTAAATCAACTTGACACCAGTGTAGCAACATGGTTTATGGTTTAAATGTATTAAAATTCAGAATAATTGATTCTGTGCAGTGTTCTGTTGGGCCACCGTCATATGAATGATCTAAAGTTACTGTAGTGGTGACATGTTATCAACTAGTTTTTCCAAATTGCATCACTAAAATCAACATTTACGGTTGGAATCAGCAATGACAGATCCATTAAATCCTCTAATATTAATGTGCTATATTAGAAGAATCCACAATCTCATGTCGCCTGTCAGGGTTTTACACTCAAAACCTGTGTCTGATCTCCAATAAGTCCTTCCATTCTCCTCTGTCACCCTCAAACCTGCAGCTTGTTAAACTCCACAGTCAGACGTTATTTAAAAATTCCAGCTGTCTGCCTTGTTTGTGAGAAACTGGATCCAGCTCGTCTGGCAGCAGCAGCATTCACAGTGTTTACTGCCACACGGTCACGTGTCTGGCTCGGCGTCGGCAGCCCAACAGTCCAGCTGAGCTCCGGCTCTCGGGGGAGTTAACGTTATAAAGTGGCCACTGAGTGTAATTCTGTTCATACATGTTCAAAACCTTTTCAGTCATCCGTGTGTCTAACTAACCTGTAAAATCTGCACAGGTTTTACAGATTGGACTTATTGTTACCTGTACTTGTAAAACCTTCAGATATATTCCTTAGGCTATAATGATAAATTTGAACATGCATGCATTAACGTATGACAGTGTGTTATCATTTCCATATGGAGTTGACGTTTCTCTCTCTACATGGTAGAACTGTTCAGCTCTGCTCTGCTCTGGCAGACTGAAACAGGCCCACATGAAGTTTCTAATCAAACTTGAAGCCACTCACCACTAAAGCCAAGCGGTGACCTCATCTGGAAACCATGCTGACGTTTTCCTCGCCTTAGAAAAAAAGACTAACCAAACTGCTGCTTCACAACATTTTACTTTCCGCTGCCTGAGGACTGGTAGTTTTTTACCTCAGACGGTTCAGAGACAGGACAGGAAGCGTGTCCCCTCACTGACTCCCAGCAGGACGTTTTCTGCAGATCCGGATAGTGGGCGGCCGGAGCACTTATGAGGGCCGAGTGGAGGTTCAGGTTGGGTCCAAGTGGGGCACAGTGTGCAGCACAGGCTGGACCACAAAGGAAGCCATGGTGGTTTGCAGGCAGCTAGGGCTCGGATACTCCATGCATGCCATCACTGTAAGTAGGACCGCAGACTCGACTGAAGAGATCCACAATAAGACACTGAACAAATGCTTCTTTTTTTTTAACGCTGCTCCTTGAGATGCATCATGAATAAGATGTGCAGAACGAAGGCAGAAATTATAAGATAAAACTTTATTAAGGAAGGACGGAAAGGAAAGTCTTGCGTCAGATGTTGCCCCAAAAAAACAATGACTTTATGTAAAAAAATGCAGTGTCGAAAAAGTAGAAAAGCGATAAAATATAAGTACGATACATGACTGAAATAGAATAAGTGAGCTACAATATGGCTAGAATAGAACATTAAAAAGTAGCGCTGGCAATTACACTGAGGTAATAAGTGATATCCCACATGAAAATGAAATATTGCAGATTAACCTCTTAAGACTCACATTTTGGGTTATATTACTACAGTAGCCAATTTTTTTATGTTATTATTATTATTATTATTATCATTAGTATATTGGTGTTTATTTTATTTTTGTTATTTTTAGATTTTTTAAAAATATATTTTTATTGTCTGCATTTTAAAAAAAACTTTTCTTCTCTTTGCTATTTGATCTGATCAAATAGCAAAGAGAAATAATAATTAAAAAAAAAAAGCATATCAAACAAGAGCTTGGGTCTTTAAAGGCAAAAGATATTTCTACCTGTATTAACTTTTTTTTTTTTTTTAAATCCAGTATCAGTCAGGTTGTTATACTTACTGCTCATAAGTGTAGTGATTCTGCTTTTTGTTATCAGAACAAATTCATCCTTTAGTCATGAAATCCTTCAGAAAACACTTAAATATCTGCTGCAGTGCTGCCAGACTGGAACCTGTCTGAGTTATTTCAATGTCAAGGCAGAATATCTAATAAAATAATAAGAATTCATATTTGTATANAAGTTGTAAATGTTGAAAACATTACACGAAAGAGTCATAATTACAACTTAAATTTAATGTAATGTAAATAAAGCTAGTTGTGAACAACAACCAAAAATGGGTTTATTGTGTCACTGCAAATTATTCTAAACAATCAAAATGTACTTTTACCTTTTTCTGCAGCTAATCGAAGCTCATACAAATGCTTTAAAAAAATACATGGAAACAGGACATAAAACTGCTTTGAATAAACTGTTTAATTAAACTGAATGCATTGAGAAATAAACACATTTTTTGTTCCATTTAAATCCTTCAAGTTTTGTGTTTTACTTGTGTCACAATGATGGGTATTTATAACTGTAAATCACATTTAAAGTTAGAAAACTGGACTGAAAATGTGGCACAATTTAAGTTTTCATGACTTCAATCTGAAGCAAACTTTCATAAAATGTATTTTTAGAGCCAAACTGTGCACCACAATCTGAAGTTTTTGTTGCATTCTAATTTTAACTGGATTCACCGCTGACGTTTTGACACCCGAATCCAAACTGTGGTGAGTTTAAAAGCAGAAAAACCACGAGGAAATGTGGGGATTTTGGTCTACTGATGTGCACTAAAACAAAACGAAGGAGCAGATCTTTAAACTTCAGCAGTAAATGTCATGTTTTGGTGTCAGTCTCCCAGAATAAAAGCAGAGCAAAGTTTCTACGCCCACAGAAAACACATTCGCAGGGCACAACTTGTTATTCTGCGGCTTTGTGCAAATGTGGTAATTCACTGACAAAAGCAGAAGAAAGGCTGAGGCAAAGTTAACACACAAAAATGTGCAAAATTACAATGTTATTTGAGGATGTGATAATGAATTGTTTCTTTTATGGGACTGTAAACGCTTTTGAGACATCTTCACTTTCAAGCATTCATTTTCAGAAGTGAATATGTGGCGTTCTGGAACGAAGCGCTTCAAATGTTTTAAAAAAGAGCCGCAAGAAACTGAACGTAAAAGTTGCAAGCTCCAAAACAATAAAAAAAAAAAAACTTCTGTGTGGAAAATATAGTGATATAGCTGATATATTTATAGTGAAAGTGATTCGTTTATAGTGTTTGGGATCGAGATATGGTGCAGTATAACTATTGAACCGCTCAGTAGTGTCCTCCAGTGACCGTAAACTCAGCATCACACTGTGTCCTCGATCAGAAGCCAAAAATGCGTCATGGACATCTGTTTTTCACAACTGCAACATCCCACCGAAAACTCTGCAGCTCCGTTTCTGACTGACACGCCCTGATCGATGCATTGTGTTTGTTTGTCTGTTTGTTGTAAGGAAACCTGGTACTGGGACAGCAGCAACGTGACGGAGATGGTGATGAGCGGCGTGAAGTGCACGGGAAGCGAGATGTCTCTGAGCCAGTGCCAGCATCACAAAACCGTCAGCTGCCAGAAAGCGGCGGCAAAGTTTGCAGCAGGAGTCATCTGCTCAGAGAGTGAGTGAAAGATGCAGAAACACAATAAACAGCAATAATACAGCATTATAATAACTGAACTACTGTAACCTGACTCATTTTTAGTTCTGCTCTTTATCCATATGTGTCTCTAGTTGCAGCTCTGAGGAGTAAAACTGAAAACCTACAAAGAATTTTATCTAAGATTGGGTTATGAATTAACTTAATTTGAGTTTATACACAGTTAAAAGGCTTCTCTCTTCCACAATGGAAGGGAAAAAAAGAAAAGAAATTATATCATATTTACAAGTAAGATGCAAGAAGAAGTAAGATGGTCAAGAGTACTTTACACCATCAAAAATGGTAGACCTCCTCTAAGTTAACATCAACCCTGTAACACCACCAACAACTGTATCACATTTGATACCTGAGTTTTTGAGAACCTCTACATCATCAGTGTGATGTTTATTTTTCCTGAAAAACCTGATGTACACAATCGCACACATACAAAAATAATCCACCACAGATCAGTAATTTATGCACCAAGAATGCTGGATGTAGCAAAAAAAGGTGGAAACTCATACATGCAAATATGTGCTGCAGTTAAAAAAAAAGAAGATTCAATAAACACTCCAGTTTCAATAAATTTGAACTTTCTGGCAATTATTTCATGGTTCAGGCTTTGCAGGGCTAACCAGTTAGTGCAAAATTGTGACTCAGCTCCTTTTATCTGATTTCTGTAAATATTTTCTATTTGTACAGACATATCAAATATTTAAACATGACTGACATAATTAAAATACAACAACAATAACTTTATTTGTGTTGTACCTTTTGAAAATAAAATTACAAAGTGCTTTACAATAAAAACAATTGTCAAATTACACAAATCCTGAACTAATTTAAAAAAAAATAATTTAAAAAAGTTCCCAACTGTATATTACAGCAGTATAAAATAGTGAAACCAAAGGAAGATTTATTTTATTTTTTTAAAGAAAAAAAATTTTATTTTTTTAAAGAAAAAAAATTAGAGTAAATTCAAGACAACAGCTGCTGCATCAGAGTTCCGTCCAGTAAAACAGATTATGACTGACGTTATTAAATCAGCTTAACAAGTTTATATATAGGGGTTTAGACCCATTATTGTTATTTATGGTGTGATTTTACCTGATTAATGTACATATTAGAGATTAAACCCTATAAAACTGGTATAAAATACTACTTTACCTGACCATAACACATATTAAAGCTGAGACCTGACAGCGTTAGTAATTATGGAGAATAAACTAACTTATTTAATAATATAGCTAAGATCCTACAGTATTATAAATGACAGAACTTAACTAATATAAATATTGTGTCCAAGACCCCACAGCATAATTAATTATGGAGATGAACCTGATGGATTTATAGCCCAAGTTTTGACATGTAAACCCAACAAATCCAAGGATTATCTGGATCCTTTTTGAGCAAGCTTTGTTGATTATTTTTACTGTGTTTTTGTGTTGTTTTATTTCAGTAGTAGTTTCATTTTATGTTTTTGTATTTTATATATCTATGAGGACTACAAGTCAGTCCTGATCCCTCTCCTGTCTTTGTGTCCAGCTGCCTCCGATCTGGTCCTGAACGCCTCTCTGGTCCAGCAGACGGTTTACATCGAGGACCGACCCCTGCACATGCTGTACTGCGCCGCCGAGGAGGACTGCCTGTCTAAATCTGCCGCCAAGGCCAACTGGCCATACGGACACCGACGCCTGCTCCGGTTCTCCTCCCAGATCCACAACATCGGCCGGGCCGACTTCAAGCCGAAGGCTGGGCGGCACTCATGGGTCTGGCACGCCTGTCACGGGTAAAGTGCTCTTTATTAGGGCACCAGGTCACCAATTAAAAAGATCCTCTCAGTGGGATTTACCGGGTTTAGATTTAGATTGTAGTGACATAAAAATGTCACCAGTTTGATTTAAGAGACGTTATTAGACTTTTCATGACACCCTGGTGGATGAAACTTGGACTCAGAATCAAAATTCCTCAGATGAGACATTATTAAGATCTTTTATTTGATGAAAACAGATCTGAGTTCGTCGCCTGTGCAGATCAAAGTGACTGAATTTCTTACTGCACTCATAACTTTTTGTAATATTGGCGAAATCCTGCTTCCAGCGTCCTTCAGTTTCCATCTATGATTATTGATGGTTTTGGTGGTCCAATAGGTGATGAAGTGTCTGATGCTATTTGTGTTGAGAGTAGGTACTTCCTGTTAGAAACCAGATGTTGTTCAAAGATGATACATCTCCCTTCTGAGAAGCTCATCTTAGTGGCTCTGATTTAAAGTTCCTCTCAAGTCACTGACTAAACCCCTAAAAACTCATTTCTGCATATCAAAATGACTTTTTTTTTTTCTAATAAAATAAACTCTTTCTGCATTAAAAAATCACTTACATGTACATTTACACTGTTGCTTCCTTAAGAATTTGCGGATCTATGAAGTCTCTGCCTCTGTCCCCATCCTATTTGCTGCAGCTTGAGCACACCAGCTCACCTGCAACTCTGCTCAAATGCTGTAAAACTTTTTACCAGAAATCTGAATCTGTGCTTTTGACACAATCATCAATACGCTGCAGTGTCAAGGTGGAAATGTCTTCCAGCATATTAAAAAAAACACCTTATGGATGCCTTATGAGGGTAAAAAAAACTTGATCTTTAAGTCTCACTGAACGGTAAATAAGGAAACTGTCCAGAAAAGCACACAAAGAAGCACAGAAAATGTTTACACCAGTACAGTCACATTGGTTTGGACTAATCTGAGAGTACAACTACGATCTGATTTGTTCCTAGTTTGTGCAGAGGTTTACTGAAATTCCCATAACTTTGTGCAGAGTTATAGACATGTGGTCATTGCAGCAGAAACACTAGACGAAGATAAAAATACTAGAATATAAATTTACAGTCCAGAATATGAGGAAAATTTGCCTTTGTGGGAATTTAATGTCCAAACTGTTACCTCCCCGTCTCACTAGATCACAGCTTTTCCTCGTGGCTTTCTGTTTAGTCTGCGTTCCGCCTCCTTTAACCAGCTAACAAACAAGACGCTCCGACCGGTGGAGGGAAAGTGGGAAGTTTTGTCCTCTCTCCATCATTATGCTGCTTATGTTGTCTGCAGCTCAGATAACAGCACGAGACAAACTGTGTTTATACGGCAGCCGCTCTGGCGTGAAATGACTGTTTACACCATGTGCAGGCTTCAGAGGGCTGCGGTGGGAATCTGGGCAAAGTCACACACATCATTCAAAACGCAGCGTAGTATCTATTAAAGTAACACTGAATCAGCGATTTTATCAGAAGCTATGTGTTTTATAACTGAATCAAGCCCGTGTCTCTTCCTGTAAAGTCACATTATTCACATAAACACAGAGAAGAGCTTACATTTTTAAAAATATGATCATGGGCGCTGCTATAGCTCACCGGGTTGAGCTGGCGTCCCATGTGCAGGGCTACAGTCCTGATGTGGAGGTCATGAGTTTGAATCCTGCTCATGGCCCTTTCCCACATGTTCTTCTCCCCCACTTTCCTGTCTCTCTCTCACTGCACTGTCAAACAAAGGCCAAAAAAATATAACTTTAAAAATATGACCATATATTTTTTGGAAAACTTCACATCATTGTCCAGTGTTGTGGAATTAAACTTGTTTTCTGTGGTCAGTCATCAAACTCGATGCTATTTTGAATCTGAAATAAGGGATTTTCTAACTTTAGAGATGTTTTTAGTCCCTCACGGCTACATGGTCTTTTTTCTTGTTTCTAATCCAGCCACTACCACAGCATGGACATCTTCACCCACTACGACCTGCTCAACGCCAACGGGACCAAAGTGGCCGAAGGACACAAAGCAAGTTTCTGTCTGGAGGACACGGATTGTCAAGAGGGTTAGTCTTCAGATCAGAGTTAAACCACACATCCATCCATCCATCCATTATCTATACACCGCTTCATCCTCACTAGGGTCATGGGGGGCTGGAGTCTATCCCAGCTGACTCAGGGTGAAGGCAGGGGACACCCTGGACAGGTCACCAGTCTATCACAGGGCTACACTTAGAGACAGACAACCAAGCACAGTCACATTCACACCTACAGACAATTTAGAATCACCAATTAACCTCAACATGTTTTTGGACTGTGTGGGAGGAAGCTGGAGAACCTGGAGAGAACTCACGCTGCACGGGGAGAACATGGAGACTCCACGCAGAAAGATTCCGGTGCCCCCACCGGGACGCGAACCGGCAACCTTCTTGCTGCGAGGCAACAGTGTTAATCAACTGCTCCACCTTGCAGCCCATAAACCACACACTGTGTTTTAATTTGTTTAGGGAACTAGAAGCAACAAATTAATTAAGAATTACTGGCAATGAACCACATACCGGTTTAAATCTACGTCATTAAGGATGTCCTGATCCGGTCTGAATGATCAGCACTGTGGCAGAGCTAAGCCGTTTTTATATGATTGGTATTTAATGAGTGAACCTAGGCCGGATTTTTTGTTTACCTTCATGTCAGAAAAGGAAAGCACAACTTTTGGAGGGACGCAGATAGAATATCTGCAGTGTGGAAATATTTTAAATTGAAAAAACAAAAGCAACCCAACAGCTAATTGTAAAACCTTCAGTGTGAGTATTTTGCAGGCGCTACACTTTTAAAACAGTTTTTGACTGTAATTTTCTTAAACAATTTACCCTAATTGTACCAATTAGTCCACATTTTGTTAAGTTATTGATAATATTTAGTAAAAATCAAAGAAAAAACTATTAATTTGCATGTTCACCATTAAAAAAAGGCCAAATCTGTAAATAATGCTCACATCAAAAGTCTTATTTTTTATCGATGGTAATTTATTCTTTTACAATGTTTGACTAAATAAATTACACAACTTTTTAACTTTGTATCTCAGTTTTAATCGGCAAAAAATACTATTATTTTATGGCATTTTCTGTTATTTAAAAGAAAAATTACTTCTCTTAAGGACTGAAAAACAGCAAATAATTTTCTAACTACTACTTTACAGATCTCCTCTCTTATGCTAAATTACAGATAATGTCTAGTAAAATTATGGGAAATAAGTTTGTATTTACACATTGAATGTAAAAAGAAATATACATGTGGACAAGGAGTATATAAAGTGTAAATTATCGTTTTAATTTCCCCTTTCAAAGCCACATTTCTCTGATGATTTGCTCTGTTTATATTTATTTTCAGATAAATAGCATTGCTTCATGGCTATCTACAAGTTTCTGTTGGTCTTTCATAATTAAGACTGAATCCATCTTTTCATTTATGACGTTCAGGCGTTTCTAAACGGTACGAGTGTGCCAACTTTGGCGATCAGGGCATCACCGTGGGCTGCTGGGATTTGTACCGCCACGACATCGACTGTCAGTGGATCGACATCACAGACGTCAAGCCTGGAAATTACATACTGCAGGTGAGCGTGTGTGGATCAAAGCGTAGAGCACAGAAGAAATACTGCCTACAAAATTTATGAATGAAACCAAGCGGCGACCTCAAGGGCTGAAATGTTGAAAAATGCAGTTCCTGAAACGGCCACTAGAGGCTGCCTCCAAACGCCCATAGACCTCCGTGTTAAAACGTCCAACTTTACAACAGAAATAAACATGTTTAGAGCCTGGTACAAAACAGTTTAGGTCTCAATAGCTAATTTTGACATTCATAACAACTGTACAGGAGGTGAATTTTTGTGTCACTCACCTGTTTAAATTCTTTTAAGGTTTAAAATTAGCCACTAGTCTCAGCTTCACGTCACTGTTTTTACAGTTAACGTACATTTTTAAATGGTTTTTCAGTTATTATCCGCAAGTCTGCTGAACTTCACCGTCTATACATACCTGAAATACTGCATAGAATTTGTCCAGGAATTGTACAATACAATACATTCATACTGCACACGCTGTATATAATGTTAATCATTCCAGTTGCACTATTGCACATACTGTACAACCTTTACCCTTTTTAATGAGCACAATTTGCACCACTGTACATATTATCCATATTTATATTATAAACTTCTGTACATTGTTACTGATAATGCACTTCTATTTAAATGTAGTCTGTGTTTTGTTGCCTTGTACTTGTCACATGTGCAATGACAATAAAGTTAGAATAGAGTTTTATTGCCATTTGCACGGGCACATTACAGGCACATTGAAGTTCTTATGCATATCCACGAGTCAGCTTTATATGTAGGAAAAAGAAAAAAAATAGAATAAAATTAATAAAGGTGAGAGCAGCAGCAATAAAAAGAAAGAATATAAAATAAAATATACATTATAAAAATAAAGTACACAAAATAAAGTAAATATACAAAAATAAAATAAGTACACGTTATAACAAAAAGCACTCAGTATAAAAAAGCTGAATCTAATCTAATCTAATCCAATTAGGAAAACCTGTCAAATAACAGTAAATGATTAAAACAAACAAACAAACAAAAAAACAGCTACATAGCTAAAAATCTTCCAAAAAACACTGATTTATTGCAGGTTTACATATTTTTTTTTGCCACCTTGTTCACTCGTTTCGATGTAAACCACAAGTTTTATCTCGTTCTCCATATTTACGTTGTGGTTCAAGCTGCTTTAACTGTAAAAACTGAACAAAAAGCGCCTCTTTTTATTTCTTCAGGTTGTGATCAATCCAAATTCCGAAGTGGCCGAGAGCGACTTCACCAACAACGGCATGAAGTGCAACTGCAAATACGACGGACATCGGATCTGGCTGCATAACTGCCACATCGGTAAGTCAGTGAAAAACAATAAAACTTCCCACCGTTAATCATTTATTTGCTGCTTAATTTCTCGTTTTTAATCTCCTGCAGGCGATGCGTTCAGCGAGGAGGCGGAGAGGAGATTTGAGAAATACCCCGGACAGCTGAACAACAGAATTTCTTAATGACTTCACAACAACATTTCAACCAACGTGGGGAGCTGAGTGAATAAAAACACACCTCACAAGCTCAAAAAAAAAAAAAAAAGACACAAAGCTTTTGTTTTCAGGTGCTGAAACGGATCCCCACTGCGTTTCTCAGATCTGTAGTCGTCTAAGAAGCCAGCAGTCTTTTCCTCCGGTGAATGTGTCGTATGTCTGACTTATTATACTTGAATATTCAAGTGCCGATGTTTGTTTCCCTGTAGTCTCGTGTGAGTTTATGCTACGTTTTTATTACAAATTCAGATTTTTAAAGAAATGTACAGCCTTCCATTGAATGTCTTTGTCGTTTTATTTTTCATTTTTGATTATTTTTGTATAACCGGATTTACTTTTACTTGGATGGCGCAGGTTCAGAACTACCTGAAGACGCTGGGAAAAATCAATGTGAGGCGTAAACAGGAACACATGCAGCTCTGTGAAAGTCTTAAACGCAACATCACACCAGGTGTTTTTTAACCTGCAAATGTGTCTCACATCTTTTTATCAAATCTACATGAGGATGAACACACAGTCACTGCCTCCACAGTTACAGTATTTTGTGAATGTATATATTGCCAATATCAAGGTGCTAAAGGAAGAAAAACGCTTGTTCATTAGCAGTATTGTAAATTCAGAGTGCTTCAGAGTCAGTATGAAGCCATGTGTAGCTTTAGTCTGCGTGTCTTTTAGTCTTTTTTTTAGGGTTGTTCCTGGGAAAATACAAGAACCTACAGTTACCATGAAGATTTGCTGTATGTATGCTGATGTAACCACACCCGCTGCACCAAATAAAACAGAGGAAACATGATTATTCAGTGTTTGTAAGGTTTATTGGATCAGAAAGTCACTTTTTTGCAAGCGTGAAGCAGCAGTTCTCGATCTGACAACTTAAACGGTCCCATCGCTGGTTGCTTTTTCTTAAAATCAGTAAAAATAATCTGATGAATTTGGCTTTATTTCGTGTTACAGAATATTACTGTGACTCCTTTTTAAGGGTCTGGATCAACTACAGTATTAACAGCATTCAAACGATTTTACTTTACAGCTGCAAACACTCGGATTATGAGGACAAAACTCAGTATAAGGGGCATTTTCTGATATTTTTCCAGGTTGTTATGAGATGATCTGTCAACCTAAACAGTTCAGAACAAGGCTGGGGTGGAATAATAAGGACACATGACACTGGATTTTAATTTTTTAGCAGAATTTTTTAAAACATCTGATCCATAATCGATGCCGGCTGAGAAACAAAAGGACCCACAGGCCTGATTCTACACCCGCAGGCTATGAATTAATAGTTTCGGGCATCAGGGTCAGTCGAAATATTGTGCTTATTTTGTTTCTCGTCATTTTTTTCAAGCATTTTTTTTTAGCCCTCATAACTTCATAAGCACAACAAGTAGACATTTGAGATTTTCACTGCTGAATAACACACCTGAGATCTGTTCAAAACGGCCACCAAATCAGTTCTAGATCCACTCCAGGTGTCGCAATACAAAGACAGAACCTTGTTTTTGTTTTACAACCAGCTTCCAGTGTCAATATTGTGTTTCACAGTTTCGCGACTGGTTTGCGAGAGAAGCTGCCAGAGATCATCTCAATCCACCGCTAATCTCAGTCTTCGCTTGCACGGTCCAACAATCCCGTTAACCCCACTTAGCAATCACATTAACCGTGTGCACAGCATCACACCAGCTCTGGTAAGTCCGTATGTAGCACCTCTTCTGCAACAAGCCTCAACTGTGATGATTTTGAGGACTAAAATACACTAAATTCTGAACTCTGATCTCATTTTTCCTTGCACTTGAGCTATAAAAGCTCAGAAAATAGAGGAAAATCGCATGTGGTGATGCTTTTAAACACGCAAAATCTCTAATATTCAACTTGTAGTAACATTAACTAGAGGACAGTAGTAAATCCCCACACTGAAGCAAATATAACTACAGAATATTTGTAATTTCTGCTTGAAAATGATCAAATTTGACCAATTTTGCATCAATAACTGGCTTTAAAAGTAAAATTATTTGCACTACGTTGTTCAAAATCAGTCTAAATGTGTGTTTACATACACTGCTACTGTGTCTGATGACTGATAACTCAAATATCTCCTGGAGAAATCGCTCCAGATGGATAAAAGTCTAATTTAGCCTCATTTAAAAGTCTAGTTTCTTGATGAGCTCTCGTCCCTGAGGCTGCTGCAGGTTTCCTGCGTCTCCGATCATCATCATCAGCCGACAGAGGAGGATTACAGCAGCACGTTGTCATACATGAGAAGCTCAATCCTCATCTGACAGCAAACTCAACAACCTTTGCAGGGCGTCACCTAGAGGGCAGCAGCTGGAAGTGCAGCACTAAAGGACTGGACTGTGTTTAAGCTAACTTGTGCACAAAAATCTTCATATGATGGTTTAATGAACCTACGAAGGAACTAAAACGTCTATTTATTATTTTGTCCTAAAGCACGCAACACACTTCACATTTTCTTTTCTCGTGTTTGGATGCAGCGTAAGAAGATGTTCACAAACATGTTCACAACTCTGCTTTACGACACTCAGATAAAACAGCTTTAACTGATATTTTCAATCGGTTAAAGCTGTTTTATCTGATTAGAAATTTAAAATTGTGTATCTGGACAATTACATATATTTTTCCTTCGTAAATTTATGATTTCAGCATTTCTTTCATTGGAGCTTTTTGACACAAGTGGGATGTTTGCCATCTCAGGTTGTTTTTTTTCATACTCCTGCGATTTGGACATTGTGTTTGACAGTATTGCAATTAATCTGTTTATTATTCCCCCAATTAAAAATTTTGACATTTGATGTATAAAATGACAAAAACGACGAGAAAAAAAAAAGTTGATCAGTGTTTCTCTAAATCGAGAGTATTCACTTTACTGTCATGAAAGAGTACAGAAACCAGAAAATACTCAAATGTATGAATCATGTTGTGGAAAGTCAGTGAGGTCGAGAGGACGAGGAGGCCGACACAGAGAGAAACACCGATGACTCAGATGACTTAGGCTGATCTACATGAGGTCAAGATCATGTAGAAGAATATTTACAGACTGGTGTGTATCTGTTCTAGGTTTTATAGACTGATGATATCCATTTCAGTATCATCTTCGGAGGCTGAACTACAGAGAGAGCAAAGTCACTTATTCCTTCACAGCTACAGAAAATTATTTAAGTCATTCTTGAAAAATTACTCAAACTGACTGATCAATTATCCGAGCTGATTGTTTTCATAGTTGACAGCGAATCGATTAATTGCTGCTCTGCATTTATAATTATATTCTGTGACACATAATTTTACCTTTATAAAAAAAAACACTGCAGCTTTTGTGATTTGGATGTTGGCCATGTTACAATTTCGACTATATTTCAATTAAATGTTCAGTCCTGGTGTGGATGAGGTGTCAAAAAAGCAGCAAGGGCAGCCTAAGAACATACAATTTTCGCTAATTAATCTGTGAGTAGTGCTTGGAACCTACTGTGCATGACATGTAGTGAACATCAAGATGTATGAAAGTGCTGCACATGAGTAAATCTGGGGCTGCAAGGTGGCGCAGTTGGTAGCACTGTTGCCTCGCAGCAAGAAGGTTGCCGGTTCGCGTCCCGGTGGGGGCACCGGGATCTTTCTGCGTGGAGTTTGCATGTTCTCCCCGTGCAGCGTGGGTTCTCTCCGGGTTCTCCGGCTTCCTCCCACACAGTCCAAAAACATGTTGAGGTTAATTGGTGATTGTAAATTGTCTGTAGGTGTGAATGTGAGTGTGCTTGGTTGTCTGTCTCTAAGTGTGGCCCTGTGATAGACTGGTGACCTGTCCAGGGTGTCCCCTGCCTTCGCCCTAAGTCGGCTGGGATAGGCTCCAGCCCCCCCGCGACCCTAATGAGGATTAAGCGGTGTATAGATAATGGATGGATGAGTAAATCTACTTAGTTACTTTCCACCTACTGCTGCTGCGAATACAAGAGAACCTGAGAAAAGCTACAGGTAATAGTAGTAATGTTGCTTCAGTAACAGAAGGGAAAAAATAAAAGACAAACAGCCGTATTACTTCCTATGAGCTGGGATGTGAGCACGCTTTGCCTAAATGGTCATTTATGTTGAGATTAGATTACATTTTGGGCAAAAATGAGACAACCAGGATGCACTTTAATCCCAGGTGATAACATCCAGATACCAATTATATATAAATACCAGGTGTAACCGTCCTTGGCCTCCAAAACTGAATAAGAACAGGAAATAATTTCATGGAAGCTTCACTCTTGTTGACGTTAATTTACTTTACACATCATGAGCAACACCAGTAATGATCAGAACAGCCTGATGGGGGCGATGTGCGTCATTCACATAAGAAAGCAGAAACATGAAACATAAAGGCTCCAGCAGTGATTGAACTTTCATTCAACGCTGGAGATTTCAGAGAACTCCTCAGTTTCCAGGCGAGGTTAACCTTTTTCTGACTGACGTTTTTCAGAGTTCGAGTTAGAAAAAGAATCCTCTCCCACAGTCGTGCGTTCATCTTCGTCACTGCAGTATCGTCTGTTTGACCACTTGGCCTTCTTTGTCGATGGCAAAGTTGTAATTCTTTGGATTGTCCAGAGCCTCCTCGATCCGCTGGTCCAGGTTCTCCAAGGTGATGAAGTTCTTTGCGTCCTCCTGCAAGAACATGAAAAGCAAACATGTTTAACTGTTTTCAAACCACATCCTGTGTAATGCAGACCTTCAAATATCTCATTCCGGCTTTGACAGATTCCTACCTGCAGCTGTAAAATCTCCTTCTCCTTTTCTTTGAGGAATTTCTGCTGCCCCTGTTCTTGCTTAAGTAAAACTTTGAGCTTCTTGCGCTGAGCTTTTTCCGCCTGCTCCTGGACCCGCAGGATTCTGAAAGACACCAGTTGAGAGCATCAATACGAGACACTAGAGTCCAGATGTGAGGCTGACAGTCTTCTCCATCTCCTCAGGTTGAGTTCCTCCTCACCTGAGTCTGAGCATGCGGAGGTTCTCCTGGTCGTTGAGGGCCATCAGGGCTCGGTGCTCCTCCTCCTCCTCCCTCGCCCTCTCCTCCGCCCGCGAGCCCGTCTCCTCCTCGTACTTCTTTCGCAGCACCTCCTCCTTGAAGGCCATACTGATGAACACAGGAGGAGGAGCCCGGTTACATGACACATTTCAAACCACGCTGAATATCAACTGCCTGCTGACCATGTTTCAGCACATTTGTTCACACATTGAAATTTGAGGCTGTTTTATTGTTTTTTAGTTTCTTATTAAAGATAAGAGCCTGAAATGTTCACTGTTATTTTTTATAATGCATTGATTGAGAATCTAAAATATCAGAGGCGTAGATCTAATAATTTCTGATTATGTGAAAATTGATTTTTTTTGGTTTTAAATTAAAGCCATCATGAAAAGTCTCCTCTCTGAGCGCACATTAACAAAAAAAAAATTAAAAACAGAGTTCACAAAGTCAGTCAGTTAAAAAAAATACTTGTTTGATTATGTATGAACTGAAATATTGAAATAAACTGACAGTGTTGTGAAAAGTCTCACCTTTAAGCACACATTAACAAAAAAATATATATAAAAACAAAGGTTAAAAAGTTAATGTTTACTTTTTTATTTTTATTTTCCAGACCTGAAGTTCAAACACTTACACTGATTTTTTTTTTTGCCTAATTGTTATAAAGCAATTAAATTCTGTTTATTAGGAGGAAAAACCTGCAATTACTTCCATTTCAAAATGAAGAAAATTTGTGTCATCAATCTTAAAAATGACTTAAAGGATTAATTAGTCATATAAATTGTTGTTTAATATTTTTTGTTGCTTGAATTAAGTGACTCAGCAGCAATTCTTTTTTTTTTTATTTTGCAAAAATACATCAAATCAAATTTATTTATCAACTAGCACAATTACTAATTAACAATGTTCTTCAAATCTTAATAAAATATACACTCTAAAGCATTAAAAGCACATGTTGACATGTTCATCAGCACCGATTGAACCAGAACACCGGGTGACCCGTTACCGTCCGCGACACCTCAAACCGGGGAAGCTAACGTACCGGAGCGACTTCATGAGCAGCTGGTACTCGGAGAACCTCTCCTTGAGCACCACCATCTCCACCGGGTCGACCGGGGGAGGCGTTTTTATCCGTCCCTCCTTGGACTTGGCCACCGGGTCGGTGCGGGACTTTCTGCCCCGGACAGCCTCCACGAGCACGGCGCTCCTGGGAGCGAGGAGCCGGGAAGCCTGGACGCTCCTCCCGCCGATTACCTGGAACATGTCGGCGTCGAAATGCGGTAACAGGTGCAGATTCTTGATCGCTGTAAGTTATTCAAAGCACTGAAGTGTGAAACCTGCAGCGTGAGTTAACATTGAGACAGAAATGTTATCGACACAGGACGGCGGCCATGTTGGTGCCCTCTGACCGGCGGAAGTAGTTAGCAAAGATAGCTCGGTCCACCTGTACCGCCATCTGCAGGTCAGAAAGGGCTTTTGTACAACAATATTTGTTCTTATTAATGAGTTAAAATCTTCGAAGACTCTCTTACACAGGTGGCGTTTAAATATAATGCTAACTTAAAGTCAACAACAAAATATAGCGAGAAAGGTAGGTACAAAATAAGCTAGTTAGCTCGATAGCCAGCTAGCTAACTAGCTTAGCAACGGTTCAGCAGCGTTTTCCACAGATAAAGTTAAGTTGGGCAACATTTTTAATTCAGTGGCAATTTAAAAAAAAAAATGATTTCATTAATGTGCAGTCCCATTATATTTGAATGTAGGCTACTTAAAGTTATTAGAAATAGTAAAGTGAGGGTGCAATACGAAAATCAATCAGTCTTGTTTTATTGTAGAAGTAGTAGGATAATCAACAAACTGTTAATTTTTTCTAAATGCCTTTATTTATTAAAAAAAAAAAAGCAGGCAATGATGTATGTATCTTTTATTTTCTTTTATCTTTATACTTGTAATAGCTTGCTCTTTTTGTTTAGTCTGTTATCTTTTTAAATTAGATTTTTCATTGTTTTTAATTGTTTTTCCCCCTAAATGT